AAAGTTCAAAGTCGTTGGAGCATCATTTGTTGCAGTGCAATAAAGATAAACACACATTCATACAAAATTACATTAAATAGAAAAAAGTAATAGAAAAACATAATGAAGTGTGGCGCTGCCTGCGCATCGACCATTGCGCCTGACATTTGGTAGCAAATTTGCAACAGAATTTCGGAGCGCAATTCCCAAACAGACATGAAACAAGTTATGCGGTAGTTCGGCGACTGCAGCCAGGCAGCCCAAGTAGCGCACAAAATGTTGGCAGCTGCCTCAAAATAATTTTTTTTGAATGCATGCCACAGTCATGTGCAACATTGCAACTTGGGTGCCCATAATGCGCTGCGCAAGGGTCAGCACTGTGTCTATCGCCTTTGTTGGTCATAATAAACCCGTGTTTATTCATATTTTCCGCAATTGCATTTTACTTTTTTTTTAGATTTTTGTTGTTTTTTGTAGCGCACAAAAATATTTCATGCCACACAAAGGTGCCATACGTGCCAACAAAGCATTGCCAAAAGCGCACCTCGAAGCGTGTGTGAAATATTGTTGATTATACTCGTAACTGTCTTATGTGTATTCATACGACTTCTGTACATTTTCAATTGCCAAAAGGAATGAGCCAAAGACATATATCCTACCCACCTATCATAAAGTATTCAAATATGTACGTAGTACATAAAAACTTCTTTGAGTTGCCATATGTCAGCCAGGGTGCGGCTTTTAGAAGCCTTGTCCAATTCAATTTTTTTTTCTTTTCGTTTTTTTTTCACTTTCATCACAGCTTTCTTTAGATTGCCTTTCTTTCGCCCAGACATATCGTTTATCATCGTTTTTACAATAACTCGCGAAATTACCTGCCTGTCTGGGTCTGACACCTCGCGCATTATTTATGAATACAAAGCGAGAAAAGTGTTGTGTCCAAGCCAGCCATTTCAGCTAGACAATGCAGTAATTGCAAGATAATTTTGTAAAAATAAAAAAAGTTAAATAAAAATTAAATTTAAAATTATACACTTGAATAAATGTGTAGGAATGGAGAGATATGTGGTACTTCTATTCATCTTGAGTTTACAGCCACATAAGGAAGTATAGGGTTGATAATAATAAATTTAATTTTATAGCCAAAACAGGATATATTAAATTTGCCACGAAATGATCAAGGTGATGAGTTGAGTCGATTAAACATATCGGACCACTATAGCAAATAGCCGCTTTACAAACTGACCGATCAAAATAAAGTTAAAATTTTTGTATGGGAACTTTTTTTATCTGAGAACTGATTATAGCTTCGGTGCTGCCGAAGTTAACGTTTTTTCTTTTTTAGTTTTATATTTTTCTTTTGGCATCTTCTTTGGTAAGAAACTCCATAACAGTTTCTGCGTGTGATTTAAGTGCCATATTTTATATGAAGGGAAAGCGAAGCTTAAAGGTAATCTAATAGCGTTTTCTTTTCTCAATGAAAATGTTGTCTCATTATATGGCAACATTATAAAAATGCAATATCTATTATTGAGCTTAACAAAACTGATCGATTCATTATGATTAGTAGAAAAACTTGATTTAAAATAATAACTATCAGCAACGAAAAATAAACATCGCTTGGGCAACTCTCGCCCTTACGTTTTGAGATAGGCAGATATGTTGCACATTTTTCAGGTTAGAAGTCAACATTCTGAGAAAAGAACACGCAACTTTGAGATAATTTTACAGCAATGAATGTTATGCAAAAACGAGTATTTAAAAAATTCTTACTTGACATATATGTGTATACAATACCACTAATTATGTAAGTTATAGAAATTATATTCACTTCATATATACTAGCCCAATTTTTCTGCAGGCGATCCTTAGATCCAAATAAGCATTTTCATACTGCATATACATATGTACTTTTTAATTGAAAATGCTTACATTTATGCCAAGTAATTAATAAAAAATGCTAATAAAAATGCAGAAAAGAGGACAGCAATTGTAAATGCATAAACGCCGAAAAGTCATTAAGCCACTTTACCACATGCAGTTGCACGTTAGGCCAAATTGGGTTTGCTATGAAGAATTAAAAAATACTTTTGTTCAAAAATAGCTACATTTGTGTGTACATATTTGTTTCAAACTAGAAAAAATAAATAAACGAACAATTATGTTTTTTACACTAACCTTTTACTTCCGTCATGTCTTCCCTTTTTTGGTGAAATAAATGAAAGTCACTGGCGCATGTGCATATAATATCATTTATACATAAGATAAGGTTTATTAAAATTTAGTAATGCTCTTGAGTCAAGTAATTTGAATTCATTTGTATATATAAATTCTAGATATTGAAATGGTAATTAGCGCCACAAAACTAACAACCCTAAACTATATTATGCATGAGCGTTTTAATCAACCACTAAAAACCACAAACTAAGCCTTTTAAAAAGTCATTAAATCTTATGTTAAGCACTTTTTGATTAGTTGAAAGTTTCATTAAATAAAAAGGTAAATTAACCTCACTTTTCTCAATACATTCTCCACTACTATAATTTTGGTTTTCTAAAATGAATAATACTAATAATTTTCTCAGTTTGGGCGTAAATTAATTGTACGCTATGTTTTACGCTTTTTTTTCAAGAAGTTTTTTGAAACGCTGAATTTTTGCTGCATTTTTTTGTAGTATTTTCATTTTTTGTTATAGTTGGCAACGCTTAAAAATTAATATATATTTTATATTTTTCAAAAAGCTGTTTGGAACGTTTAATTTTTGCTACACACTATTATTATATATAATTTGATAGTTTTGATACGCTTTATTTATGTAACACATTTTGTATTATTTTAAATGTTTTCGATAGGTGGCATCCCTATTACATTCTTGGATACTATAGCAGCTAATAATCCATTTACTTATTTATAATATTGTTTTCAAAATTTAATAATTTTTTTTTTGCGTAAATTGTTGTGTTCGAATTATCTATAACTTGCAACTTGCATAATCAAATATGCAGCAACAGACAGTATTGTAACAACAATCTCAAGCGGAAGCAACGCGCAGAGTTGCACACTTTGCAAAAAACAATCTGTATATATGTATGTTTGTATATGTGTATCTATAACATACTGGTTTTCTAGTTCAGATTCTTTGAATGCACAGTTGCATGTACATAAATACATTTTTTTCTGTACGTGCTACTGGACTCGCATCGCTGCCTTAAATCTCATAAAACCATGAAATTAACTACAGTTTCCGTTCAAACAATACCAACAACAGCGACAACGACGACGAAGACGATGGCAACAAAAATCACAGCACCAGTCCAATTGCAACAACATCGGTGCGCTGGTCATCGTCATTACCGCAAATGTTGTGGCGGTGTTAATGATGATGTGCCGTTCTGTTGCAGACTGGTGTTGTTGGTGTTGCCTCTGTTTGTTGCAATTGCCGCTGATGATGATATTGCTCACACGCTTTACTTTGCTAATGCGAATTGGTGCCTCCACAGGGTGGAGCCATAAGTAAGTCGAGCGTTTTTTCGGAGCAGAAAAGCAACAGCGTAGTGCCAAAATGCACCTGCTGTTGCATCAACTATTTAACTGCATATCATCGCTTCGCTGATTGTCTAATATTTGAGCGTAAAGTTGCTGGCCGACCACTATTCCTTTGATTGCCAGCTAAGTTTGGACTATTATTATATTTTTTTTTTAGTTATCACTGTCTTTGTTTGCTGTTGTTATTGTATTATTTCATTTGTAAGTGGCACTATTTCGCAGCGCTATCAGTTTACCATCTTGTTGTTGGTGGTTTGTAATTGCTATTTCATAGTAATTGCGAAGTTGTTGCCTTTGCTCATTATTCTTACTTGGTTGCTGTTGTTGTTACAGCATTTTCTTCGCTGCAATTAAATGCAACAAGCACATTAGGCCACTTGCAATGGTCACTGACTCGCATAAAGCTTGCTATACTTACGGTCGAGCTAATTACTAATTAACCGAAGAACATGCATCGTCGATCTTAAAATTATGCAGCCGCACACACAAGGAAATACATGCTTATGTAAAGGTTTCTTCAAGATCGGTCATGTAATTGTTGTTGTAGTATCTTATTGTAATTATTATTTAAATAAAGAAAAAAAATTAACCGGGATGAAGCTATTAACTTAGAGGGTTAAATATACCATGGCGTCTAAAAAGTTCGTATAACTTCTAGGGAATGAAAGTCACTAAAATCGAATACCTCGTATACGTTACGCATTCAACCACCGTATTCTCTGGTCTCAGCGACTTTTTTCTGTTCAGGCCTCATGAAATGACAAAGAAATTTCCTAATCCGAAATTGAAACCTATTTTGTACCAAGTACGATTGGTCTTACTACAAAAATAGTATAAAGTCGAACTTAATTACGAACAAAAAAACTTAAAAATAAAACGAATCTCTGTAGCAGTACTTTGATTCCAGTACTTTGCTCGGAAAACTTTAAACTTTACTAAAACATATTATATAATTTATCTGTTCCAAAAGAAATGTTACATATATCTTTAACATATTAATTGATAAAAAATATGAAAAAAATTACAAATTTTCATATATTCCAAAAATTTCTAAAAATTTAATGCGCAAATAAAAAGCTTTCAAAATCAAAAAATGTCTCCAAATAAAGCATTCACCAGTATACTATAACCGATTACACACCTAAAAGTAAACTTCAAAGATAGTCTCCAAAGTTGGATTTCTTTCAAGATGGTTTAAAGGTCCAACGGTTTTTGACGTGGTCCATGCTTATTGCATAAAAACCATGAAAATTGTGATTTTTGACATTTTGATTTTTATACCAACAACGAATTTTACTATGACAGACTTGATATCAATCAAAAACAATATAGTGGGCACATTACTTGCTAATAAAAATTTTAAATAGTACAAAACTTTAGATGAAATCAGACAAGTTTATTCTTAATTATCACTTAATATATTTTTAAAATAATTGTAATTCTTGAATTAAATTCAAATTCTGTTTTCCTTTCAGGGTCCTAAGGCCTCCAGGCGGTGGCACTAGCGACATATTCGGCGGTGACCTTCCACAAACTCCACGCAACGTGAAAAATCACATGCAATCGAATATTTTCTCATGTGACAAAAATGGCGCTATCAAAAATAACGGTATGTTGAAATTACGACACATTAAATAACGGCACATTATTTTAGCGTAATCTGTTACGTAAATCTGTTAAAGAAATGATATTTATCAACTATTTGTAGTTATAAAAATATGAATAGAGTAATTTCATACAAGTTTAATGGAAAATTAATAGTACATTGATATTGCGCCACAAGCTCGAGTCGAGTAAATAATTTTTGTGTTCGGTATTAAACAAGCTCTAAAGAGGTCTTGTTGCGTAGTAAGCTTTGTGTCCTTAGAACAGTTAACCGAGAATTGAAAAATTTAGCCGCCCTGTAGGCTGGTTTTGACCGTTCTGCGTATAAAAATTTTCTACTCGAGATTGTGGCTCAGCGTGAGTGTACGAAAAAAAATATATCTATATTGAAAAAAAATTTAATGAAGAAATTAATAATCCGTTTGTACATACCTAATAATTAAAATGATTTTTTTTTTGTTTGGTAAATATTTTTATTATTATTATAAATTATAAACAAATGTTTAAATTGGAAATGTAGAAATATTTTGCATAAATATATTTATATAAATACGATCGCATACATATGTATAGGGTGATCCATTTTGAGGTTCTCTAATTTTTTGAAGAAAAAAACATAGAAAATTTGAATATAATGGGGAATGTTTATTATCATTCGAAACAGCATTCCTTGGTATTTATTTTAGATTATCTCTTTCGAATGTTGGCCGCGGCATCTCAGATGATCCATCCGTTGAGTCCAATTTTCGATGACTCGTTAGAACATTTCGACTGGTACTATAGACTTTATATATCCCACATGAAAAAGTCTTAACGGTGCGATATCATACGATATTTGTGGCAAATCGAAGTGTTCTCTCAATAACCATGCGTAATCTGTCAAAAAAAAGGCTATTGAAAAAAGTACCTCTACTTGGATCACCCGTTACATACATATTTAACACTTCTCAAAAAATCGGAATATAGATTTGTATAAAAATGTAAGACTTATTTTTTTACAATTTATATGATAATGATATACGTATTATATATTTTATTATATATAATATTACTTTTAGGCTACATACTCGTCCATACATATAACTTTCTTCCTCTGCTTTAAAGCTTTTCTATCCACATTTAAAAAAGTATACCTTCTAGTTTTCCCTCAAATAATAGTGAAATAAACTTGAAAAATGTGCTGTATATATATATCAATAAGTTACAGATTTCATGTTTTTTATATAATATAAATTTCATTTATATTTTTTTAGTTTGCTATTATATTCAATCTGTCATAAACAATATTATTGTAGTATGTCTCCGCGCTGTGTAAATATGCATTATGCAATGCTAAAGTACTTATATTGTTTTTTAATAATTTAAATTTTTAAGTGTTGTTCATATTTTGTCAGTAAATTTCATAAAAAGCTCAAAAAGATAAAACAATGAATTAAATTTGAAACGTTTTATTTTTTTCTTGTTTTTTCTTTATTTCTTTTCTTCATACCTTTGCAGTACGACAAGGAGCTCACAGATTCTATTTCATTGGTACCTAAATATTTGTCTCTTTGTAAAGCATACCAAGTTTTTAATTGTTATATATTTTTCTTTTGTGGTTTAGCATTCGTTGTTGTTATTGTTAACTATTGTTGTTGTTGGTTTCAAATAATTCCACTCAAAACACCCCACAAATGGGTTTCCCATATTTCAAAGCAATATTTTTTTTTGTAATTATTTAGTTTTTTAATTTTGTTCATAACCTAAAATATAGTACGGAAAATTTTTACACCATAACTGGTACTAAAATCCCAAATTTTCCACTAAACTTAATTGTATTTAGTACAAAAAGACAAACGAAACGGTGGACTTGTTGAGAGTTTCTCATATGATTTCAACTGAAAAGCTGTCTTTCTTAACATTGGAACTGCGTAATCTTTTCGGGCATTCAGCAATTATTTAGCAGAAAAATTTGAAGGCTAAATAAAGTGATCAATGTCGCAGTCAACAAAAAGATTTATAACTGCTTAGAGCTGCGATATTGAGCACTTTATTCAGCTCTTGATGCATGATGGTTGCATATCATTACATTCAGGTGAATGGAGCGCCAATTGCCAAAGCGTATGAAATGCCTGATATGTAGTTTCAGCCTTAGTTCGTTTGTTTTTGGTGATACCTTTTATTTCACGAACACTTTATTTAGTCTTTTAACCTTTTTATATATAAACACATACTAACTTCTTTGGCTACTTCTTAGTTTGTTTTATATTCTAAATTTTTGAAATTTTTTTCCTACAGAGTTTTGCTGGTTTCTTTATTTTAATTCCATTTATAATTGGGTTTTCTTTAGCTTGAAATGGTTAAATCTTTTTTAAAATTTAATAATAATATTATATCTACGAATTCATTTCCATATAGCATAGAAACCCAGATCTTTCTTATCAGAAAGTAAATTTCTTGATATATAAATAGATTAATAGCTTGGTTATGGTAATATATCTAAAGAAACTCATAAATTTTAGATTTGTAAAAAAAAGGTTGGTGTTGCTCACGTCGAACAGCTCCTTTACTTTGAAGTGTTCTATAAAATCTATCTTCCCAATAACAATTGGATCATTTGTAAGCAAATATAATCGAAATCGGAGCGAAGTAATTAAAACTGATCGCAAATAACTGTTTTAATATCAAAATTTTCAAAACAAATCTTAAATCAGTCCTACTACACTAAAATGCGTAGAAAGTAAGCTGGTCTATAATTCAGCATTTCTACAAACACACTCGTAATACCAGACCCGGTTTACCGTTCAAGCACTTGGCTGGCGTTTAGCAATAAAACCGCAAATTATGGCTGCATAAATAAAAGGCTTATAAAAGTATCTTCAACTGCACGAACATTTTATAGGAATTAATGTGGACAGTAATTGGCATTAAATCGTTAAACGATGCGCACGCTAACGAAGTCAAAAAATCGCGATCTTTTAACCGCCGTAGGACTATTGAATGAGTGAGTTAAAATGCAGCACTAACTTTGACATTGACAGTGAAATTAGCAGCAGCAATGACCGACAGAAGCAGCAACATTTTTGAATTGTGCACTTGTAATTTCAGTACTGCGGCACGCGCCATATAAAATTGGACTTTAGCTGCTTTCATCGCAATTCTTACTTCCTTCCACTCATAGAAATGCAATATTGCAGCCTATTTGCAAGTTTATGTTACTGTTAACCCAACCACTTAAACTGAAATATATCGAATGTACAATTTTCACTTATTTTGCTTTTAATGCCAACCTATGAATTGAACACTATTATTGAACCCGAAATTGCACTAACTTACTTATCATTACTCCTCACATTTCAATGTTAGCTGCATTTAGTTCATATAATATAATTGAACAGAGTTTTGCTACAAAATCATATTTCATTTGCTATTATATGTCTATTAACAGCTGTATGGTATATTATTGCCATTTTCATAATAGTTGTTTGCCCTTTAAGCTGCCACGCTTTGTCTAAGCGCTACACGAGCATTGCTGAAATAACAGGTTTTAAACGATTACTGCCTTTTTCGAATTAGTCAAACTGCTAATCCAAAATAAAAGTAGAAAAAGAGTTGATAGGAAATGATATACCTTTTAAAAAAATATAAAAAAAATTAATTTAAATATAAGTTTGCAGTGATATTTCAGATGTTTCTTAATAGTTATTTCAATGATTTTTATGGCCTTGTAACCATCTAGATTTTTATAAAAATGAATAAAAAAAAACAATAATTTAATATTTTCGAAAACAGATTGGAAATTTTTGATTAAAAATTTCTGCTACATATGCAAACCGAACCTAAATTCCAAAGCACTTAAAAGCTTAATGAATCCAGTAAACCCGAGAGAGAATATTTTTTATCAGAAAACTCGGAAATTGTATATGAAAAATATAGCAAAAATGCCGAAAGGCAGAAAGAAGCTTAAAAATGTAAAAGAGTATACTAGTAATTAGAAAACTGACCCGTATATCGTATACACATAAGTCACACTGCTTCAGCAGCTGCAATCCAATCATTTTTTGTTTCATTATTGTTGCTTTATATTCGCCTTCAAGCAGCAGACAGATTATTATACCCTGAGCAGAGTATATTTAGTTTGCCATGCTGACGAGCTGAGTCGATCTAGCCTGATATATGGCTTCTATAGCATACATATGTATAATATATATAGCTGCTTTTATCAAACTCAAGTTTTTGTATTGAAAACTTTTTTATTTGACAAGGTATCTTCACAAAATTTGGCATAGATTCTTATTTAAGGCATCGCTACAATATCTATATTGTTCAGATCGGACTATTAGAGCATATACATAGTTGCCATTCAAACTGACAGATCCAAATCAGGATAAACATCTTTTTATACCCTTTCTTGCTATAAAAATACACCTGTAAAGGTTATTATAGCTTCGGTGCAGACAAAGTAAACGTTTTTTCTTTATTTTATTTTATTTTATTTTTTTTTGAGGTTAGGATAAAAAAATTAAATTTTGTACAATTTTTTTTTTGTCAATAATAAGCAATTTATACACAATGATAGAACGTGCTACTAGTAACTATAATAAAAAACTATTAGTAAAAAAGCACCTGGCCACCATTAGTATTTATTATTGATATTCAACGCAACGCAAGTAAAAATAGTTTTATGCGATACATAATAATCCCACTCGTTTTACATTTTACTTATGAATTATGCGTCTCTAAACCTCACAGTTAAGGCACCACCAGCACTTTCTTCGTTATCAGTCACGGTAACAATTAATTTTCAGTCACAGCTGCCGCCACAAACAATTAAAAATGTTTATGTATTGTATATATCAACATACATATATAGATCGAGTTTTCCAATAAGAGTGATATGAAAACACACTAATTGTCAAGGAAATTCAAATGTTTTTCATTTAATATGAAGTACAATCGATACAATTAAATTCTGAATATAACATCATTCAAATGACTTCTTTTGCAGGAACGAATTCGATGAACCCAATTTTCGAATACTTTGTCCACTAAATCAAATCAATATTGGCTTCTAAAGCTTGAAGAGTCTGGTTTATTGCTAAAGACCAATGACTTCAAATAACCCCACAAGATGCAGTCTAAATCAGAACTTTTTGGAGACCATTCAATGTCTAATTTTTTTTAAATTATCGAATCTCCAAACTTTTCTCAAAATAATTCGGTTGTTGCACGTGCTGTGTGGCACGTAGCCCCGTCTTGATCAACTTCTTCCAATTGCGGCCATAAAAAGTTGGTTATTATCGATCTATAACGCTCTGCATTGACAGTAACGGTATTACCAGCTTCATTTCGCAAAAAGGAATCATCGGTCCCACCCGACCAAAAACCACACCATCAGAATCGACAGTTTTATTACCGCACCACTCAAATGAAAGTGAGCCTCAAAGGGAAAAGATGATTTTCTTAAAAATATCGTTATCGTTTTAAAGTTATACCAAGGCAAATTCAACAAATTCACGACATTTACGGTAGTCCAATGGCTTCAGTTCTTGAGTGAAAACAATTTTATACGGATGCAAATCCCAAATCCTTTCTCAAAATCCGCCAGTTTGTGATTTGAGACATTCCCAGTTCTTGAGAGTGTCTTGGAATCGACAAATTGCCGTCTTTAGCAACACTTGCCTGAACGGCAGCAATATTTTCTTTACTTCGAGCGGTTCTTTGTCTTATTGGCACTTGAACATTATGTAAAGAAAATTTACGCTCGAAATTTTCAACAATTCGACGAATAGCGAGCACAGTTGGACGATTATTACGACCATAAAATGGCAAAAGCGACCGAAAAGTCGCAATTGGAGAACGATTATTTTGATAATGAAATTGATCATTTGCAAACGTTGTTCTTGCATATATCTTTCCATGATGCAATTGTAAACCTTACTAAATACAATGAAAAAAAATTACAGATCAGACATATTAAAAATGGCCGAAACGACACTTAGAAATCATATCATCCCTATTGGTGAACCCGTATATGCAATAATTGTGTTACAATAATTTCTTATTAACCTTAATTATGTATAAAAATAATCTTATTATAAAAATTATGTTGTAAAATATTGTGAATCACTTTAACTACCTTTTTACCTTTTATAATTATACATATATACTTATCCTACTACTTACTTACATACATATTTACATATTACATACAACAAATTTTTTATATAACTTTATATTACCGACAATCTTGCATATTTGATCTAATTACTGTTGTTTTGTTTGTTTTTCCCACCACACACACTGTGTCGTGGACCTCGTTTGTACACCCACACATTCAACGTAAAAAAACAAACGAACACTTCCAATTTTTCTCTTTTTTCATACTTGCAACATTGCATTTCTTGCCCGTGCCCTTTCAACACGCAGGTGATCAGCCACGTCGCGGACAACAGAAAGTTGATTCTTATCAGCGTCTTTTCGGCGAGCCAGAACGTCCAAACACTCCCGCCAGGAATCACATGAAGAGCAGCATTCCATTTGGTTCAAATACTGAGGCCGCCCAAGAATTGTTGGCTAACGGTAATGGTCATCACAGCAATGGCAAAGGTGGTTCAGTGTCCACTTCGACATCGTCATCGGTATCTTCGTCCACTGAGAACTTGAAGATGAACGGTGTCTCAAAATTAGGTGAGCAAATGAGATTATAAATAAAAATTATATAATATAATTTTTTTTTATATGTATCTAAATGTATTGAAAGTATTTAGAACAATTGCAGAAAACACTCCACAATTATTTTTGTATAATTCTATCGAATTGAAAGTCCTTGGCTGTATATTGCGTTCCGATGATTTAGAACCGAATGGCTGAAAAGTTTTTTTTCATGAAATATGACATATGCATTGTTTATGACTACAGCTTGTTCTTGACCGTTGAACATATTTATATAAATTTTTTGTAATACTTGGAAAATCATTGCTTTCATCAGCGATGTTATACCCTAAACAGGGTATATTAAGGTTGCCACAAAGTTTGTAACACCCAGAAGCAAACGTGGGAGACCATATGAAATTTATACATAAATGATCAGCATAATGAGCTGAGTTGATTAAGTGATTTCCGTCCATTCATCTGTCTGTATATATACGAACTAGTCGATCAGTTTTCAGGACCACTACTGCATATAGCTGCCATACAAACTAAACAATCGGAATCAAGTTCTTGTATGGAACCTCTGTATTTGTGAAGGGTATTATAGCTTCGTTGCAACCGAAGTTAACGTATTTTCTTGTTTTTCCTATCTGAAATGTTTCCTCAAAACACTAAACTCACTTTTTTCCATTGGAAACAAAGGTAGCGTGACTTTGAAAGCAATAACTTGAGAACCTTTAATAAAATGTCTTGAACTGTGAAAGTAGTATAGTTAAGGTTAGTACCCTAAGGCAAAGATAGCATTATTTTTGATTAAGTGCTCTATCAGTCAACCCACTATTTAGTGTAGGTAGTACATCACTTCATCCGCACCATAAACTTATGCCTGACAATTCATAGAAAGCGTTATGAAAGGATTAGTGTAATATTCGTGATCTGATCATATTTTAAAAACTTCGACGAATTGTATAATATGGATTATATATTTACATATCTCTCTTAATTGCCTTTCTAGATAGAATGCAACGTTTTATGTGTGGTTTAATTTGTACGTACACTGCCTCAGAACTTCACTCATAAACATATTAGAAACATTGGTTTTCAACTCATAAACCAAATACAAGTTCAAACCTATCAAATATTTTGTTTTGAAAAGTCAAAAAACCATATTATTTTGTTTGTCATTAATTACAGATTAAAAAAAATAAAATACAAATATTTTACAATACATATTGTGCATATATTTTTAAATATAAATAAGTAAAGCAACACTTAAGAAAATAAGTCCATTTTTGCACGCCGCATTTCGAACGCACCTAACACTCACTCTCAACAATCAGTATTCCGCAAAATGAGCAGTAAGTAGACGCATTTTTTTGATTTACTCAATTAACTGAAATTCAAAAGCTCAATGGTTTTTATTAAATTTATAAATATCCCTTTACGCCACTGACCCCTTCCTGACAAACCAATCCACTCAAAATCCGATCAACGGACATCACCAAATCAAACAGAAGCCGATGAAGCATGTCCACCACTCCATGTACCGGAATCAAGTTCGCCACCCAGTTCCAATACGCCACAATTAAGCATAGACTTGCCATGCGAGACTAAAGCGTCTGAACAAACTGACAGCAGTGATTTGTCAGCACGTTCTCGTGTAACAGTAAAAGACACCAATTTATCAGCACGTTCTAAATTAAGTGAATATCCTCAAGCCACATCACGTTCTAAAGTCCCGACAACAGACCATGCTCTAACACGTTTCAGTTCAGCGTCAAAACATAGCAACATGGGCGCTGGCGATGTCGCTTCGCAAACGCGTCGTGAAATTGGCACAAATTCAGACAATCCACATTCGTTTGCGAAAATGCAACCCGGCAAAGAAGGTCGCCAAGAAGTGCTGGAACAGTGCGACAACCGCGCTCCACCTGCGCCAACGCCACGTAATCCGATAACCGGTTTGGGTTTGGGCGAAGATGGTGTTGGAGGCATAAAACCGAAAAAGCCAAAGGATCGTCGAGGTTTGCGGGACTGAGAAATAATTTCTGAAAGTTTGTAGCGGGAAAGTTTTATTTTTGGAAATTTAAGAAGTAGAAAGTTTAAGTAGTAATTAGATAGAACTTGAAGATTGACTTAAGCTTTACAAATAGAAAGTTATTCCAGAGAAAGTTCAAAATATGTGGGTAAAAAAATTCTTGTTAATATTGAAAATGTTTAATTAGAGCGTCTTAGTTACCGAAAAGTTGGGACCTCACTTCCAATTTGTGATATTTTGTAAGACTTATATATAAAGTAAGCTCCCATAATTTTGCAACCAGCTCAATTTTTTTACGTGAAAAAAACACTTATATATAAAAATAAGGACCATCGCAGCCGAATGAGTAAATCTTGAGAAATGTAATATTTGCAATTACATGTATAGAAGAAGCCGCATGATCGTCGCTTGGCATGCAATGTATTTCTAAACGAAAAGCCTCTCATAATTCTCTATCTCGACGCGTTTCATATTTAAAAAATTATCCAAACAGTGAAGTTTACGTGAAAGTCACTATTTAACTCTCTTATACTAGCATGTTTCAAATGTTCCTCAGTTTTTCATTTTATTACTAAACGTTAATTAAATACTGATAAAGTATTCACAAAATTTCAGAAAAAAAAAATTTTTTTACATATATATTTATGAGATACTCGAATGAAATTTAATACACAGGTGTACTTTGATATTGTTGTGATTTGTCTGAATCATCCAGATCGGACAACTGTAACGTACATATCTCCCAAACAACCGATTATTCAGATTTTTTTATTTTCCGGTATACTGCCTTTTATTAAAAAGCTAAGAGCACACCATTATGAAGAATTGTTCTTTAGTATATACTTAAAAATGACAGCGTCAATAAAAAAAAAACCCGGACAGCTATTATTTATATCTCCCTTACAACCGATATCTCACGTACACTAGTATACATACTCGTGTGTACGTAGAGAGTTTAGGGGAAATATTCATTTAATACAAAGTACCGTAATAAATACTTAGTAATGCTAATTTTATATAATAACTTCCAGTTTTTCTTTGATACCTCCAGTACTTCCCAATACTTTTATATTATTATAAGTACTGCTAATATATTATTATGAGAAAGTCGTTAACTTAAAAATATATATATATTTATATTTTACAAATTTTCTAACACATTTATTTTGCATTTTTATTTACATTTAGATGGCAATCCCGTCACTGGTGAGGGTTACAAGCCCAGCAATTCTTTCAATAATGCGGTACCCAGCCTGAATGGTGCCAATCAGGTCATCAATAAGAATCGCATTCCACCAGGTGGATTCTCTTCAGGCCTCTGGTAAATCAAGTTTATCGCCTGTGTATTGTTCGTTCCGTGTTTGCGAAAAAATCAACAACAGAGAAGCGAGGGTCTGAGATGAAGTGATGAAACCGAAAAAAGATAATAAAAGAACAAATATATTACACACACACAAACAACACAATAATAAAAAACATCATAAAAATAACTAACTGATCATCAGCAAATCACATAATGATAACAACAGCCGTTGAAGGATTTAAGATGTCCTTCTTATTAAAAAAAAAAGCAAGAATGAAATGAATGTATGGATGGATGTAGAGTTGCGGTGGATATTCATATATAACTAATCGAATAGGGAGAAAACATATTATGAGCAAAAATTTTAAATATAATATTAAAATGAAAGTAGTTTGAAGGCGTTGAAGAATTGACAAAATTTCAAAATAACTAGTATTTAAGCTAATCAAGCAGAAAAGCAAAAAAATATCCACACATACACACAACTACACATACAGCCACTGTTATACAGCGAAATGTAGAAATACAAACATAATTTATTTGAAAATTTGTGGTCCCAAAAACTGCTAGGAAGGAAACTGGCTGGCTGGCTGAGAATTGACGATTCGAACATGAAATGCAAACAAAATAAAGCAGCAACAACAAGTCAATACAATTTAAATTCAAATGATTATGAGGTAAAATTAACAGAAATATTTGAGCAAAATCGCATAGATGTGGTTAATACGGACAGCGATGACTCTACAAGTAACAAATGTGCATAGCAAAATTGAGATTTATGCACTCGAGCATAAAATCTATAATTTTCCAAAACTGAATAGCGCGAAAACATTCAAACCTGCATGGCATTTAGCATTTTCGTACAAACAACCGCTCAACCAACACTACCACCCCTACTATCCATAGAGTCATCATCATCAACAAGTTGCAATTATTAAGTCAAGCTTTTAAAATTGTTCAGAGCTTTTGCAATTCATCATTATTATATCACATAAATACATATACATTTGCATCACCTGAATACATACACAACCTTAGCGTGTACGAAAAATGCTCAACAACGAACTGCAGCTCATAACAACAACTCAACGAACTTAACAAACGACGACGTCGGCTTAAACGATTAACAGATGTTGCTTTAGAAATTATAAACAAAAGACCTAAAACCAAAAAACAAACAAAAAAACAATTTGCTCAAGTCAAAGCTGCAGTTTGTCCGTCGAAAAACAAACATATAATAATTACAATAACAGCAGTTCAAGCGCATAGGTCTCTTAGCAGTTTCTGTATATGTGTAGTAAGTTATTAAAAATACGACTTTAGCGCGCCATTACAACAATTAGCGCATAGATTTTGCCTTTTTCAGCCGAAGTGTAGCGCCCTTCTAAATATCTACCAAAAAGAAAGTACGAAAAGACACAAAACCAAACACAACCAAATCCACCCGCATCCAACATCATTCATAACAATATTAATGAACTGAAGAATAATAAGCTAGAACAACAACAATGAATTATAAAATATTAATCACTACATCGTAATTAAAAAAACAAAAAAAAATCGTCAAAAAAAAAAAAATTATGTAACAAAACATCATTCATACCATCATGCATATATGCATTCATATAACCGCTAGCATTCATTTCTACGATACTTGAGATCATACATACATACATAATTAATTAAACATTAAAATGCCTATAATTTGCATTCATTTATTTTAAATCATAATTATAATTATGTTCTCCTAATATATATATTTTATATCTATATAAACGATACATCTACATATAAACAAACAAACAAAATTCAAAAGAAAAAAACACTACATAACGTACTTGTAACGATTTCGAAACCTTGAAAACGCATGATCTTGTCGAAACTCTAAAAATGCATTTCTTTAATACATATATTTTTTCCAAATAATTTCTACAACGCAAATTTGTCAAAATATACAGTTAGATACTCTTATCAAGACATCTTCAAACATACATACATATATACACATATAGTTGTATAACTAATTGTAATAAATTAATAATGAAATGAGTTAAAAATAACATACCATTTATAAACATTAAACATACGTATTATAAACACACATACACATACACACGAAAATTACATGAAAACAAAACACATTTGTAAAAAATTGTAAACAAAATTTGTTTAATAAATTTCGTATATTGAAAAATTCACTTAAAATAAAACCATTTGTTTTTTTTTTTTGTTTTTTCAATGAAATTAATGAGGTAAGTTATGCTGCAATATAAATTTAACGAGATAATATAGTTATATATATGGTTGTAAATATGGTATATTCGAAATTTCAGAAAATTAATAATTAGAACGAAAAACTCAGATTTGGCACAGAGTAAAGTAAAAAGAACTCAATAAGAAATGAGCCACCATTGACAATCAGAATACCATAGATAGAATTACAATAAAACAATATAGCGGAAATAATTTCGGAAAGCAAGAAAGATGATGTTAGTTGAGAAAGTATTAAATATGTAATATCATGTAGGGACTCGTTACATACTCATACAAGGTGCGTTCCAAAGTAAACAGTAAAAAAGTAACAAAGCACAACTCTAGTGGCGCCATCTATATGTCGACTAGTGCGCCTGGAGAAGTCAAAAGTGAAGACAATGCTGATTTCTTTTATGATTCCAAGGGTATTGTCCACAAAGAATTTGTTCCACCCGGCCAAAACGTTAATGCGGTATTCTACCTTGGAGTTTTGAAGCGTTTGGTGCGCCGTATTCGACGTGTTCGGCCCGAATATCGCGAAGATGGAAGTTGGCGTTTGTTGCACGATAATGCGCCGTCTCATCGATCGACGCTTCTGGCCGATTATTTGACCAAAAATCACATTTTAACAATCAACCGATCCCCGTATTTACCTGATATGGCACCGTGTGACTTCTACCTTTTCGGAAAAATGCATTTGCCGATGAAAGGAAAGCGTTATGCAGACGTGGAGGCCATTCAAAAGGCTTGCACCGGCATACTGGCGGCCGTACCGGACAACGAGCTAAAAGACTCTTTCGACATGCTTTTGGACCGTGCCAAAAGCTGTATTAAAGCAGAAGGAGACTATTTTGAATAAAATTAATTGATTTTGCCGATAAAACCATTTTTTCTGTCTTTTTTTTTAAAAAGTCCTGTTTACTTTGGAACGCACCTTGTATATGTGTGTACGGTACTGTTCATGGTATTTTTTTCTAAGTAAAATTTTTACCCGTCAGTCCGTTTATCCGTGCAAGCTGATGATGATAAGATAATTGAGTCAAGCATTAAGTATGTGTTAGTAGACACGATCGTGTCTTGCTTGCACACGTTCAAATAAATATTTCAATCATCATTTTATATCTGCACTCACAGCGTTCGATTATCATGTCGTCATCGAAAGACGATTTACTAGCAGTCTGCTGCTAGTTGCTAGACTGCCGTTCCCACGACAGTCGGGTCTACGTAACCGGAACGGACCCGGATTTATTCCGGCCAAGGACTGTCAACTCGGCAGAATTCTGTCGCTACAACAACAACAACAGTCTGCTGCAGTTTTATTGAAAAAAGAAAGTAAATCGAAAAAAGGAGTGGATGAAAGTTGGATACCAAAAATGGAAGAAATTTACGCCTGAATATCTTTTAGACGAATTAAAATTTTCAAGCGAAATCGATGACAACTTTTTGCGAACGGATTCAAAAACTTTTAAATATGGAGAAGCCATCAATAGCAATATGCGATTGTCAGCAAATACTTAGATTTTTGGCTACAGGAAAAAAATGTTAATAACTGAAATTTTTGACAGCAATTTCCCCTAGATCTCAAGCATTGATCGTGGCGATGAATTGCCGCTGATATGATATATAATAGCAGTCGAAATACCGCTGTGAAAATTTGCTGCAGATGAGGAGTGTCTATAGAGGATCTTTGCCCCTCAATCAAGATATCCTCCACAAACTTCTCGCAGAGTATCCTTCACTCTGTCGTCATTCTGTCCAGCTTTACTGCCCAGGAATCGGTTATCGAATTTTTGGACTCCTTTATGGCAATTTCAACAAGTGCTTCAGCATTATCAGTTTTCCGTTTCGACTTCGTTGATGTTTCTATCCAAGAATTTTGAAATGATTAAGAAAAACAAACATATTAATCAGTAGAAATTAATACATATTGATAAAACTTGGTACACGTGTTCCTTGTCATCATAAGTATTGTAGATGGGCGGAACCGGACCACAGTCACGCTTTCAAAATGCCGTTAATCGAAAACTAATTAAATGCTTAAACTAATCTGCATATTAAAATGGATAACTGTAATTTGGTGCAGCGAGAGGCATCTGTGGTTTGAAAATGTTTAAAATGTGGGAACTACTAGAATTACATCACTTAAATTTGCTCAGGACAAATATTTTTGCTACCTCCTCCGACAGTAGAAATCGAATGATAATCCCGCCCACTCTTCTATGTTGAAAGCTACTAAAAGAGCGATAACTCACTCAAATTTCAAATCTTATATGGTACGAGGGCGCTTTATAGGAGCCTTAGTCAAAATTTCCCAATGGGTGTTTCTCACCCCATCTTATGGTGAAATCCAATATGTCAATAACTACTTGACTTGCTTCAACCAAATTTGGAGCGTAACATAACCCGACATTGTTATGTTACAAGGGCGAAATCGAACAGCGTCTACTTTCCAAATATCACAATTTTAAATTCCATTTGATTGTTAGACTTTACAAAGTTTAAATCGATAGCCAATGACGTTATCGATAAAAACTTTGCATACAACATGTGATCTCACGTCCGAAAATGCCGCAAAATCGGAGCATAACTGTTCAAGTCCCCAGGAGCCCGATAAATAGTAAGTATTGCAAACGTACGATATTTTCAAAGTAATTATTTTATCTATTTATCGATGTCTGTTGATGCGCACTCTGGCTGTTTTACTTCATTCGAATTATTCACTTTTGCTTGAGAATCTTTTCTAACTTTACTCTCTTCCAAGGGTGATTCTAATTCAATAGTAACGGGACCATCGTTTTGTATGTGAACTTGCATGTAGGCACCAAATTTACCATCTGCAATTGGTAAAAGTAATTATTTTATTTATATACAAAAGCCCACAAACTTTGTACATGCCTTTTACTTTCGCCTTATCATAATCCTTAACCAAACGTTCAAGAAATGAGTTATATAACTTTTGGGCCGCATCACCTTGCATCGCTAAATGGAAATCAGGTTTACTTCCTTTGAGACGATGATAGAGTGTAAATTGCGAGACACACAATATTTCCAATTGCTCATCTCTGACGTTTTTCTGCCAACGTTTACCCGCTGTGTCTTCGAATAAGCGTAAAGCAAGCAATTTACGTGAACTATAATTATTAACTTTTAATAAATAAATTCAAACGGTATCGAACAGACTTACATATATTCCACATCCTTTTCTGTATCCGAATGTGTTATACCCACGAGCACGCATAGTCCACGTTCAATGGAACTAATAAGTTCATCGCCAACTGAAATGCGGAATGATTTGTAAGCAATTATAATATATTAAATATACACTATTATGTATAATTACCAGTAACTTTTGCGGCAGAAACCCTTTGTATTATCGCTTTCATTATAAGTGTGTTTATTTAAAAATAAAAAACATATTAAATTTAAATGCTCCGAATTTGAATGCTCGCCTAACAGCTGATTTTTGTTTAGATCAAAGCAGCTGATTATAATTAATTTTCATACGTACTGTACAGAATAGGAATGACCAATTGTTGAGTGCCAGTTACCGGAATAGCATAAGTCTATATCCGGTAGAAAATGTATTGAAGTAAAATATAATAAATTTATAAATGATATAAAATGTATTTATAAATTAAACAGTTGATGTATAATTTGCAATGGAAGCGGAAGTTGTTGACGTTCAGTGTGTCCATAAAGCCCATGTATAAAGACTTCAACGTCTGTTCAAATCTAAAGCCAAAGAGAGAAATAAAAAATTTCCCAATAATGTCGGCCACTCGATAAGCAAACACAAACCAATTAGTGCGATAAAAACATATCATCAAATATATTAGCCATTGGAGGATAATGTACATCACACATGCACGGAACTACATAACCGAGCCGGACCCGGGTTTTTATCTGTTGTTGTTATTATTGTTGTAGCGGCAGAGTTCTGCCGAGTTTACAGTCCTTAGCCGGATAAAAATCCGGGTCCATTCCGGTTACGTAGACTTGGCTGTCGTGGGAACGGCGGGTCTTTGTCTCGCTAAAGACTGTCAACTGTCTATATATGTCATAAACAAATATGGCCCTGCAACAACAACAACTATGTACAAATGTCGAAAGTAAATACACTCAACCATTCTCAAAAATTCAATTTTGCTAACCTTTTTGAAATGATTTCAACTTGGTTGCAATACGTGAATATACATGCATACACGTGAATTAACGGCAGGTGGTTAAAAATATGAATAAAAATGTTTATTGAACTATAAAATAATAAAAATTACCAATAAGAATAATGTTGACAATCTAATCATATTTTCGGATTTATATAGATTAATATACTTATCTTAAGTAGATTAAAAATGAATTATAAATATTGCCCACAATCGTGCATATTGTGAGTTTCATAGCGAAATTTATGACCACTGCTTGATAAAAAGCTTTTGTTTGTTATTTCAGTCTTGTCAGGTTTTTTTTTCGATAATAGTTTAATTGAAGGTAATATCATCTTTGCAATCACCTGGGGGTCCACTACCAAATATAGGATCTCCCTCACCGCTACCACCAATTATCTTTATAATATCAGCTAGAGTGTATTGGCCAATAAAAGTGTTAATTCGCTATAAATGAAAATAGAACGTTATCGTTTAAGTGAAATACTCTTAGTAAATTATATAGTTATTATTATATATGTAAATGTTACCACTTGTATATATTGCTCTACAAAGTCCTTTTCATCAATCCAAAGTTCCCCCAAAAGTTCCAAGCCTAGTTCGTTGACTAAAGCATGCCAAAAATTATTTATACGTTCCTCCTCAAGCAAATTTTCAAAATCCATATATATCTCACCAACTGTAATCTACGCAACAATTATGTAGTATGTGTATTTAAAGGATGAAAATAATCATATAAATATATTAAAATAAAATATAAAAGAATTTACCGTAATACTCAAATTTCTAATGCTAAGGAATTTTCCGATGCCCAAATTGAATGATATTTGCAAATTTAAGGTTTTTATATGTGCTCTATTAATAAAAAGAAATCAAATTAACGCAAAACTCACAAAATAAAACAGTATTATATCCACTTACTGTGCGTTGCCATCACCAGCCAAATTCAATATATAGGCCAAAGATCCTTTAGCAGTGTAAATGGATGTAAGCTCTGTCATTGGAAAAGTGATATCAATTTTTGATTTTCGTATTGTAGAAATACGCAAGTCTACATCAAAATCTGATAATCCTGTTAGGTTGAAATCAGTGACAGAGCCTGTGAAACTGCAAATATTGTGTATGAGCCGATTAGTAAAGCAGAATAGTATGCATTTCACAACGTTCTTACTCTACTAAATATTTGTTATTCATTTCTGTTTCGACATGCTGGATTTGAAAAGGATCCAAGGCTGGCAATCCTAACTGTGGTATAGGATGACACATACGTACACGTAATTGTTCCAAAAAGTTCAAAATAGTGTCTTCATACAAACACTCAGCATTCCGAATGGTTTGCAAGAGTACAACAATTGCCAAGAATATAACCCAGCTCATCTTGATTGTTAGTTAGTATATATATTTTTTATGATAATGCAGCTTACTAAATCCTTCTTGCAGCTAACGTCTTATCGCCTGCAACAACTGAAGCGTTACTGAACATCACAAACCTCAATTTATTGAAGTCATTTCGCAAATTCTTATACAATACATTATCGAATTTACGTAAAGAAAATAAAAACATTTCTCTGAGATAAGCCGACTTTATCAATGGTGTTAAATTCAAATTAAATGAGTTCTAAACTAGTCACAAGTAACTAATTTTAAACCGTGTCAGGTCTCCCCACAGCAACAACAACCCACTCCCTTCTCGATTATACATATGTATATCATTAACCATTGCACCCACAGAGGCAGCTATTTATATATTTGGAGAACAAAACAAGAAATAACGTAACTTCGCCTGCACTGAATCTAGAATACCCTTCACAGGTGCATTTTTCATAAAAAATGGTATCAGTTTAAATGACAGCTATATGACTACTGAAAAAGATTTTAGAAAATTGTAGTTGTGTCTTGGATGATAATCTATTGCAAATTTCAGGATGATACCTTGTCAAATAAAAAAGTTTTCCATACAAAGATATGAGTTTGATCGTTCTGTTTGTATGGCAGCTATATGCAATAGTTGTCCGATATCTGCGGTTCTGACAAATGAGACAGGGACGTGTACAAAATTTCAGATCGATATCTCAAAAACTGAGTGACGAATTCGCGTATATGAGACGATCAAACAGACGGACACAGCAAAATCTACTCAGCCCGTTAAGCTGATCATTTATATATACATATGTATATCCTTAATATGATCTCCAACGTTTCTTTTTAAGTCTAACAAACATTGTGGCAAACTTAATATACCCTGTAATTAGGGTTACGCTTTAATAACTATGTGATGAAAAACAGATATTTCGCTATTATAACAGGGTATAAGATAACACATCAATTCACAATATGTACAAAATACCATATCATTAACGAAATATGACCATATTAAATATTATATTTTGTAAATAAAGTTTAAATAACTAAAACAATTCGAATTCGAATAAATTAAACTTCACTTGGTTGCTGTCTCAAATGTTCAGGAATTTCTTGTAGCTCTGTTTTAGTTGCATTTAAAGCAACACCTTCTGGTAAATTGCGTTCAATGTACTCCAGGAAAGTGTCTAATGTTGATCCCGTCATTTTGTGAAAATTTATGTAACGAAAATAGGTGCGCACCTCATATTGTACACGATGTTTTTTATAAATGTGCACCGATTTTAATAGAGTCAAACGATCGTGATGTGCTTTACGCTCAGCCCAACTAAAAATATTAGAAATAAAATATTATAAAGTAAGGTAACTGTATGTTATTATGCGCACCTTTTGCCTACTTCAATATTTAAATGGCTTGCCGCCGTCGTTGCAAACCAGGCATAACTTTTGAGCACTGCTGGATCAACTCCACGTAACTCAATTTCTAGTTTACTAAATAGTTGATCCTTCTCGCCAGCAATTTCATTAATAGCAGAAGTTTCAATATTTTGTTTGGTATGCGCACTGCTGGCAGCAGTTTCTGTGCTATATAGCACCGATGTAGTACGAGGCAGGGATAAGGCAACAGAGACCCGCTCCAATAACATATTACGTACCGCCTGTAAAAGTTGAAAAGCTAATATTTATTATTTATTTTAATTATTTTTATATGCTCACCGATATCATGATTCCAAAAAATTCTAGTTTGTTTTGAAAAGAATGGTGGAGGTTATGTAAGCTAATCAGCTGGAAATATTTTATTTTTTTTTTTCATTTGGGTTGGCATTTACTTGTTTATAAAACTTTGTTCACACTTTACTATTATTTTATGTAAATCATCCACTTCTAAACAAAACTATTAAAATATTTTTATCTAACGTAATATGTATTTTGTGGTTACACCAAAAAATGTTCATGTTATTATTTTTATAACATGTTTTATACCGACAGGAGGCCACAATATGTTCATATGTATATATTAGATTAACCGTAATTAACAAATTAAATAAGAAATTATTGAGATCTGCTTTAACTGCTTAAAACTTAAAAATATGTTAAGCGTAAATTTATTTAATCACTTACATAAAAAGTTGGCAACTACTGCATTAGTGCACACCCGTGTTCGCAGCACGTGCAATTGTTTTGTTTTTAAATACCACAATGGATCAAGGTAGCTATATATTTAATATATCCTTATACACGGATATTTAAAATATAAAAAAATGTTACATTTACACTATTAAAGATATGACTGAGCTTGTTGATGAGGAGCACAATAATGCTTGTACCAATGGGGATAGTTGTAGCGATGATGACGATTTCAGCGAAGCTGATATGGAAATGGAAGCAGTGCACTGTTTATTTTGTAAACAGCAATTTAATTGTTTAGAAATAGGCTTGGAACATTTAAAGCAAGAGCACAGCATTGATTTTCAAAAATTGAAAAGTAAATTCCATATGGATCAGTATGCGTTTATTAAGTTGATAAACTGTATACGATGCGAGAATGTGCCGGCGAAAAAAATTCTTGCAGCCGATTTACCATTTTGGAATGATGAAAAATACTTAAAAGCTCAAGAGTACGAAGCTTGGCTAAGTTACGGTAAATATTACTAATAAATTTATTGCTTTATCTATCAATTTAAAAAAATATTTTTTACCTCTTAAAGATTATGATGAAATGCCTGGGACGTCTGTGATAGGTAATGAGAGCGCTACCGCCAATGAAAAAAATTTATTATCTACCATAAAATCTTTGCAAGAAAAGGTTAAAGAACAAGACACTTTACTTGAACAAGCAAGAGAGGACATGGCAAAAATGCGTGTAAGTTTTCAACGACTACTGGATAAGGATTCAACACCAACAACGTATGAGCGAAATAAAAAATTAAAATCACCCAATTCAGTAGCATGCGTTTCATTGGAAGCTGATAGCAGTTATTTCAGTAGCTACGCACATTTCGGCATACACCATGAAATGTTGTCTGTAAGTGAAAAAGCGCCTATTCTCAATTAACTGTTAATTGAAGAATTTTTTATTTCAAGGATATAGTTCGCACCACAAGCTACCGCGATGCATTACTATTGAATAAAGAATTTGTAGATGGCAAGGATGTGCTTGATGTTGGCTGCGGCACCTCAGTGCTATCAATTTTCGCATCACAAGCCGGAGCAAACAGCGTTGTTGGTATAGATAATTCCGATATTATATATAATGCAATGGATATTGTGAAGTAAGTCGCTTGCTTAGTATTCCTATTACAACATATTTATGTATATCTCATGTATTTCCTTTAGGCGAAATAATATTAACAATGTCACATTGGTGAAGGGACGTTTGGAGGACACAAATCTACCACAAGAAAAATTCGACATTATAATTTCAGAGTGGATGGGATATTTTCTGCTATTTGAAGGCATGTTGGACAGTGTAATTTATGCGCGTGATACACACCTAAAACCAGGAGGTATATTGCTTCCAAATCGTTGTACAATGAGCATTGTTGGCTATGGCAGTGAGTCGCTCTACAAAGATCATGTGACATATTGGGACGATGTGTACGGTCTAAACATGTCTAATATGCGTAAAGAGGTACTACATGAACCACTCATTGATGTGGTGGATGCCGAACATATTCTCACTGAACCAAATATGGTAGCCGATTTGAATCTACTGAAAGTGGATTTGAATTATTCAAACTTCACGTATTCGTTTAATCTCAAATGTATCAAGAGTGGCGAATTATCTGCGTTTGTGGGCTATTTTGACACATATTTCGATCTTCCTGTGCCGGTGATGTTTAGCACCTCAGCCGACAGTAAACCCACGCATTGGAAACAAGTTGTATTCTTTCTAGAAAAAAAGCAAAAAATAGCACTTGGTGATATTGTCAAAGGCGTCATTGTGTGTCGTCGAAGTCGGAATAGTGCTCGTTCACTGGACATAACCATTGAAGCATTTGGAAATAAATGCACCTACTATTTGGATTAGTTTTCTAAGCAGAAATTTTGAAAAACATATGTATAATATCCCCAAACATAGAAAATATATTCTGAATGACATCTGAAATCCTCAAACCTCCATTTAACAAGGCTTAACTCTTGCGTAGATGAACTAAATCGCTTGGGTTAAGCACAAAAACTTTTGACCCATTGATAGAAAAAAATAATGTTTTACTCTAAGTATTAGTATGATAGTAATTTTCTTTATTTGGACAACCTGTGCCCATGTATATATATGTACGTGTGTATATTTGAGACAATGTGCGCTCACCGTCTAACTTACTAGTTACAACAGATGAGTGCTGCATACTAATACAGAACAAATAAATTACTAAAACTGCATACATATTATTTATAAACAGAAAATAATTATAAAAGAAAAATATATCAATGTTTCCACACGTATGGATATTGACATAGGTAGTATTTCAAAACAGTAGTTAAAAAAAACTTGTGTATAATATATAAAAACACGATAATTAGAATCAGTTATGCAGTGGCAGTTTCCAATTCAGATGCTGGTATTTCGGGCTCCTCGTCATTATAAACATTTTCCGCCATCTGCCATACTTGCATTATGTTGTCCTCCGAAACCGAACAAATTATCCACGGTTCGTTTGGATTCCAAGAGAAGTCCGATATTTTAGCGGTATGACCGCCATGAATGAATAATAGCTCTGGTGGTCCATCTTCGGCGTCTTCTGCGCTCTGTTCCTCACCAATTTTCGATAGATCCCATACATGTAGTCGACGATCGGTACCTGAGGAAGCCAAAATTGTTTCATTATGCGGTGACCACTGTACTTGGAAAATTTCGTCCTTATGCGACTCGAAGGAATGTAATTTCAATTTGAGATTGCGTAAGTCCCATAATGCCACTGTTTTGTCAGCAGAACCGGTTGCCAGAATAAATTCAGAATAGGGATTAAAACTCAAACAATTTACTTCAGCTGTGTGTGCATCCACCGTATGCGATGGTTTCGATGTATTATTATTACGCGTGTCCCAGATCATAAGTTTCTGATCATCAGCAACAGAACCAAAAAGTGATTCATGCAACAAATGCCAGGCAACGTCTTCCACGACTGCAGTGTGACCGGTGAAAATATTTTTTGCATCAATCACCCGATGCTCCTTAGGTGTGGCATTTATATCCCAAAGGCAGATTGTATGATCGTCAGACGCAGATAGTAAATAGCCTACAAAAAAAAAGTCTTAATTAGTAGCGCAACAAATATTGTATTTCTTACTAACCATTTAAATTTGGATTCCATGATAGTCCATAACCCTCTTTTTGATGTCCCCGCAATCGCAAATCAGGATGGCATTCTCCGGACGGTTCGGGTTTACTAGGATGTTTCGTATAATCAAAAACAAGCACATCGCTCGATGGCGTTTTCGTAGCAATAACACATGCATTTTGTGGCATATAACGTGCACGATTTACTTCACCCTCATGATTGATTTTAATCTCAATTTCTATCTTCCCACAAACGGATCCGAATCCTCCGAACTCACCTTTTTCATTATCATAGTGTGAACCATCGAATTGAGCATCTTCGCTTGGTAATTGAACGCTTGCAATGAGAAGGTGGTTTTGTTCATCCGAAGTATGGGTGCCTAAAATCAGACGATGTACGGAATAATCCTTTCCCTCTTGTTTAGTGACATCCGGCAGCCACTGTGCCGTCAATGAAGGCCACTCCAATGCATGTGTCATTACCAAATCATAAAGAAATGGTGTATTTTTCTTCCATATTTTATACTCCTCATTAATGACACGTTCTTCAACGGCATCATCAAATGATTCAGCTACAGAAATATATTTAATGTTTTTAATTTTATTGCCATATATCCCAAAAAGAATTTTCTTACCATTATCACTTCGGTCCACCATAGTTGGAATATTATTCACGCCGCTAGCGTTGGCTCAAAGGCGCCAAAACAACAAAGCAACAGCGGCGAAAGCTACTATAGCAGCGACGCAGACAATTTATAAGCAAGTACTAGCAGTAATTATCAAATTCCCAGAAAGAATCTGCAACTCTTTTTAATAATTTCTTAAAAAACGCTATGCAGTAAATAATATAAAAATGTCGAAATATTTAATATACCTCGCAGACAAACGTTTATAACAAATTAAATTCACCGGCAGCAAAATGAAAAGAATTATATAGAAGCCGAATCACTTTTCAAGCGAACTTGGTTGCTTTTTAATGCGAAAAAGCGGTAGAGTTAGCGTTGCCAACTACGTAAGTCACACATGGAAAGTGTATTTAGGCCGTATTCATACTATAAAAAGGCTGTAATAATTTAATTTTGTAAATTTTAATAAAAAAAATGATTACAAAATTTTCTGTTAATAACATATTTTATAATAAGTATTTTTAATATAAATTTCTATTATTTTATGGAGATTCTTAAGAGAATACAATTATTTGTCATTCGAATAATATTACTTTTTAATGTTTTAAAAAATAATCTTATTAATTGGGCTCAATTATTAATTATATTTATATACATATAAGTTTTACACACGACTCTATTTTCAAGATTTCTATATTCCGAGGTATGTTCTTCGAATGAACGCCGCGACTGTTGTAATAAAATGGTGATAATATTCTAGTCAGAGAACTTAGAAGAATTTATTTGAAGTTCTCTGCTCTAGCAACGAGTTATTTACTGACCTGTTTTAATTGTCAAGAACTTTATTTTAACATAAAGTTGATTAAAAAATAGCCTTTACTTGTTTAATTTCTCTTGAAGAATCAATGTTATTAATAAAATGAAAGTTGTAGAAGTTGTACTCAAATAAATAAATGCAGCCATTAAGGGTCTGCACCTTAACTTTTTAGTTTGACAGTGCATGATGTGAATGACCTTTTTGATTTATATGAACTTTTGCAACTGAATTTGCCAAATAGATGTGTATGAAATTTTTACTTAGCCACATATGATGATGTGAGTACAGCGCAAAAGCCAAAATTAATATATTCGTCATATTACCCACTTCACATCCAATTTAAAATATACTTTGTTTAAATGCAATCTTTTATTTACAATTAAAATTATTGACTTGTACGAAAATACGAATTATATATAAAAATTTAACGGTGATTTGGTAATGTTGCTCCTTTGAAATATTTATGATTTCAGTTTTGAGTAAAAAAGAATGCAGAATATTTAAGTCAACTAATACATTTACGAACATGTAGGTTATACAAAGTGCAGTGACATCGCAAAGTGTTGAAAATTTGGTTGTAGCTGTTCTGAATTCTTGTACTTTTTGGGTTTAAAGATATTTTTCTTTATATTCATTTAACATTTATTTCAAATATTTTAAAGTCAAAGTCAATATGTAAGTTAAAGTCGAGTCTTAGCTAATAATCTCTTACACTATTTCTAAATTTTCATATCATTAACATATGCGTCCAACTCGGCATCTAATTCGGCTGCTGTCTTTTCAGGGCCTTTGGTGCGCCCTCCGCGTTTTCCTCCGACTGCCCCTTTACGATTTGGTGGACCGCGTCGTGCTGCGTTGTTTCCTACAATTAAAATTTGGTTAGTAATGTTTAGGAATTTAATCGCTCAAATTATTACCTCCACGTCTGGCAGGTGGGGCTGCACCAGTTCTACGCTTAACCGGACTACCGCCCGTGCCAGCACCACTACCACCAACACGACCAACTCTTGTCAGAGCAGAAACATCGGATGTAGTTAATTGAATATTCATAGGTCGTCCATCCAACGGTACACCATTATATTGTTTAATAGCCTTTAGTGCGTCTGAGCGGCGTTCAAATACAACATCAGCGGTACCTATGGTTATAGTTCCGGAGGTTAATTATATTGTAAATAACTTCAATCATTTGTCAAATTCTACCTAAAGACCGTCCAGAGCGATCATAATGTACGGCTGCCTTCTTCAGCGGGCCGAATTCAGCAAATAACTCCTGAATATCCGAGTCCGATACACCATAATCCAAGTTGGAGACGAGTAGTTTTGCTACTTCAGTTGATCCTTTTAAAATACCACGTTTCGGTCCGTCGTACATGTCATGTTTCCAAGCGCTGTTTACATCGCCCTAAAGGGAGTAGGAGTAGTAGGTTGTGATGGATTTCTTTTTTGATCAGTTGTTCTGGCGTTTGCGATCTAATCTATGTTTTATTCTGGTTCGATTACGATCTCCGACAGCGTTGCTGCAGTTTTACAACTTTACTCGCAAATGCGTTTTTAGTTGTTTAGGACTACTGGTCACAAACGCCGACCTCTTACGGTGACTGTGACGGTCAGCAGTACACGATGCGTTTTACGCGCCAACGTAAGAACGCGAGCAACTAACGAACGAATTGAGAACCGCTGACGCATCAGTCGATCGGTCAAATCAAATCAAAGTTAAGAAGTTATTCAAATAAAATTAAACATAACCACTGCTAAGCAGAAATTTACAGTACAAGTAAATATTTATCGTTCAATTTAACTGGTTAAAGAAGTACATATAAAATAACAATACAGGACATGTTAATAGACGCAATGTTGTTTGAAGTAAAAGTCAAACTCCTGTCGTGGCTAGTGCACACGACAGCCACACAAATTCCTCGTATCTATTCATTCCTCTTTTCAATTTTTTATTTCATATTCCTTCATCCAAAAGTCTGTAGCTTTCAGCAAGTCCCGTTGTGTAGCCATTTTATGCACTCGTCTTCTTTTAACGTATATCGCCAAAAAGAAAAATTGCGATCGCAAATATATGCTGAAATTTGTCATTCTGTCGGCCACATTATTTTTAGGATACAAATGACCAAACAAAATTAAATTCAGCAAAGAAAGCACATGACTCCACAAATGGTTTTTGCTGCCGAACGCTAATTTTATTCCCAAATTATGAAATCCCACGTATCGTTATCCATTTAATTCATATTCTTTACCCTTGCGAATTTCGCCTTTTGTATTCCGCCTCCTCGACCACGTCCTTTTAACGTAGCTCCACCTACGGGCCTACGACGTCCATCAGTATTAACGCCGCCGCCGCGATTCGGTCTTCCACCGCCACGACGTGCTCCACTGGCACCACGTACGCCACCAGCTTTTGGCTTTTGACTTTTTATTATTTCGTCTAAACTCATATCAATTTTATCAACCATTTTGTCGTTTATGATTATGTGTATTTTAAGAATAAGATGCACTACAAAATTACTTAAGTTCTATTTATAAATTAAGTTATCCAAAGTGATGAAATTATTTAATGTTTCGCGCACAAATTCCCGTCTCGAACTTCTTAACCACACAAAGAATTTACGGGCGAACAGAAAATAAAATGGCGACGGCGAATGTGGTGTTACCAAGCTCTCCAGCAAGGATGATTCGGTATTATTAACAGAGTTGTATTTTTATGAAGCTTGTTAAATAATAAAGATGAAAAGTTAAATTATTTAACTTTTAAAATTAAAAAGTTTTTTATCATTCCCTCCACATTTGACTACAATATATCAACACTTTGAAGGGCTTATATTAATAACGCAGTACTTTTAAATTAATTATATGGTATGGAATTATTTTTTAACAATGGTTGGCAAACGCACGATAAAGTTGAAAATACTGTTATACTCTGTTATACTTATATACTAATATCAGCTGTGTTATAACAGCCAGGCGTATTTAGGATTTTCATAAACTACGGTTGAATTGAGTAGAAATATTAAAAAAAAGTGAACATGTTTATAGTAGCTATAACTGGAGGAATAGCTACTGGCAAAAGTACAGTAAGCCAAGTATTCCTAGATAATGGTATACCAGTGGTCGATGCTGACAAAATAGCCCGTGAAAGTGAGAACTTAAGAAAACCTTAAAAATATTAGTAACAATTAACATTAATTTATTTTAATGACACGATGTTTGTAACTTGATTTACAGTCGTTCAACCTGGGACAACGTGTTGGCATAAGATACGACAAGTATTCGGAGATGAGATTATTCTGCCAACTAAACAAATCAATCGAGAGGCTTTGGGCAAGGCAATTTTTAATGACAAAGAGTTACGCGGAAAATTAAATCAAATTACACATCCGGTAATACATCGCACCATTTTCCTACAAGTTTTTAAACATTTCATGAGTGGCCGCTCATGGATTGTGCTCGATTTGCCCTTGCTTTTCGAAACAGGCATACTTATGGAATTCATTTATAAAATTGTTACCGTGTCATGGTAAATACAAAGCAAAATTTGTTTTATACTCTATATGTACATATATACACTAAGTATATTTTTTATTTAATATTTTTAGTGACCCTGAAATCCAATTAAGTCGACTTTTGCAAAGGAACGAATATTCAATTGAAGATGCTAAAAAGCGTATTGACTCTCAAATGCCATTAGAGAAGAAATGTGAACAGTCCCATTTCGTAATTGATAATTCGGGTAGTATTGAAGCAACCCGGGAAGCAGCTTTGCGTATAGTGCAGCTAATGAATGACTCGAAGCAACATTGGCGTAATCGTGTGACACTTTTTGGTATACTGTTGGGACTCAGTTTGGTGATATATTATTTGAATCGATTTTTTAATTTCTTTTAGTTTTAGTTTTAGTACACATTCCAAAAAAAAGCATAAGTGGTATATATACGCTTATAAACATGCTGACCTATAACTACATATAAAATAAGGCTTGGTAGCGACAAATAAGAAATAAATAATATTAGTAAGTTAACTAATAATAGTCTTGCAAATGATATAAAATTATAATAAAGAATTCCGCTTTCACATCGTTAGTATATTATTTATTTACATTATTACAATAACAATCATGCAATTTCATTGATAACAGTATACAAACTATAAAATTTGATTTGTCATTAGTTTGTATTAATTTAAAGTTCACGAAATGGACTGATTTCATAATTTTCTCTGCATTCGCAAACCTAATTGTATATTTAAAAAGGCCTTATGCTCAATATTTTCAGTTTAGTGTCGTATGTTCTCTTAGTTTAAAAAGTATTTAGTTATAATTTCATTTCTTTATTTAGAGTGTGTATTATTATTTATTTCACTACAAATGTGAAAAACTAGACAAATTTATGTAGTCATTACACACAATTTGCATAATAAATAAAAAACAAAAACCTATGTACACAAGCACACGTATAAAATATATTTTTATTGCTCCTTATTATATCGGATATTAATGTAATTGACAAAGAGAATGTTGTGCCTAAATTTCAAGTATATCATTACAAAATTCACAAAGTTATAGCTATTTTTATACCTGTTTTATGAACATCTGATTATAGTTTTGAAAGCGTTTTCATCACAACTCACGTTTTCAAAGTCGGTGCCCTTCATAACATCAAACTACTGCACCGATAGTTTTGAAATTTTAAATACTATTTCTTTACATAATTTACGAGGTAAAGATGGATGGTTTTTTTAACTTGTTAATATTTTTTATTTTACAATAAAAAACTACCCAATTTTTTTGCAATAAATGGTGTTTTTTCTTTGAAAAATAGAAATTTCGAAAAAATTGTGTGAAAAAGAAAGTCGGTTTGCATTGCATTAAGATGTGTTTCGTATATTGTAATTCTATTTTGTTTAGTATTATTTAAATTGTCTATAAAATGACGAACGCTGTTCTAGTTTTTGTACTAATCAAAGATTGTATGACTTCAAATATTTAGACAACATATTTGCAAGGAAAGGCGGCCCATATCGAATAGGCCTAATGTAGGTAAACCCACTCACACAATTTTTTTTTTTCCTGCGTGCAATGAGTCTCCGCATGAGTCTTTGCATGCCCAACAAACCCCACCCATCTAACACATTTCTCCCTATGGTCCGACCCCGTCGAAACAGCTCGTTTCCTGGGCCTCCCGTTAGATGACCTCGGCGACAACGAATCTGGAACTTATCACCCAAACGGGGACTAGGTAACCGTTACAACAACAACACAATTTTTTTTCTTATGGTATATTCCCGCTTCAACAACTTACCTACAGTGTATCACTAAAGTAAGTATGCACCATGATTAACAGCCGAATATGTGAATTTATTGCCACAATAATTCGAAATTTATTTATTAAAATATATTATATATGCAAGTGCTATGCAAGGTCTCTTCCAAGAATATGAAAGACACGACGCCGACGCCCGTTATCTTGTCTGGCGTCATTTCGTAGGAACCAGTAAAAATCATATCACAAAAGTATGTATGCAGTTCGCAAATTTATGTTTTCGAGTAGTCTTTTTGTGATTTATTTGCGAGAAAAACCATCAAAATTGTTTCGTTGTGTACATACAAACCTTTTTTAAAGTTATAAATTGAATTTCAATTAAAGTTTTTTGGTATTTTGATCATGGCTCCTCGAGGCAAAGAACTTTCACAAGATATGAAGGATTTAATAATAAAATTGTACAAAGATAATAAAAGCCAACGCCAAATTGCAAAAGATGTTAACAAAACCAACGCCACAATCCAAAAATTATTGAAAAATTTAAAAGAGAAGGTATTACCCAGAATCAACCAAGAACTGGGCGCCCGAAAATTTTCACGACGCAGGAACGCAGAATAATTGTGCGAAAGGTACAGAAAAACCCCAAAACAAGTGCCCCTAAAATACAGGGGGAAGTTAAAAATGAAACTGGCAAGACTTCTAAAACCCAAACCATTCGTCGTGTATTACATAATGCTGGTTTCCATGGTCGAAACATCCGTAAAAAGCCATTTGTAAATAGTACTAACAGAAAGAAAAGAATTGAATTTGTAAAAATGCACGAAACCAAAGACCAAAACTTTTGGAATGCCGTTATTTGCTCTGACGGGAGTAAATTTAATATGTCTGGTTCCAACGGACGTGAAAAAGTATGAAGAATAGTAAATTCAGAGCTCGATACTCAAAACATGACCGGCACAGTTAAACATGGTGGAAATCTGGTTCTGATTGACAGGATAATGGATAAAACTATTTATCTCAACATTTTGAAGGATAATTTGAAGCAAATTGCATTAAAATTGGGGCTTGAGCGATCATTTGTCTTCCAACAAGACAATGATCCCAAGCTACAGCTCACGTTCTCAGAGAATGGCTGCTGTATAACACACCAAAGCAACTAAAAACACCACCTCAATCGCCAGATTTGAATGATATTGAACATTTGTGGGAACATCTTGACAGGCACATAAGGAAACATGAAATAAAGGGCAAAGATGACTTAAAGAAAGCACTCATGGAGGAATGGGGAAAGATTCCAACTTCTGTGACTCAGAACCTGGTAAACTCTATGCCATCGCGGTTAAAAGCTGTTAAAAAGAATAAAGGCTTTCCAACGAAAAAGTTCATTATAACTGTAAAATTTGTTCCCCTGTTTGGAAACATGGATCCCAGGGCTTTAATTCTGCTTCTGCAGAGTGCTGTTCACTCCACTAGCAGGTGTTCGGGTGTTTCAGGCTCCATGTCACAGAACCGGCAGATTGCAGAAGAGACAAAGCTCATGTTGAATAGATGCTTATTGAGCCTGCAATGGCCGGTGTAGAACATGACAAGCAGCCGAAATTTGTTCCTCGGGAGATTAATTACGGTTTTAAACCGTCTGAGATCGTAACCCCCCATCAGCAACGTGGCATAGCGCATGCCTTAGAGTTGTTGCCAATGTCGCTCCCTGCCTGCTCTTTTCACTTTACGGATCAGCCCTTTAATGGTATGTGGACCAAACGCTACGCATGGTTTTGGTCCTACCATTTTTGTGGAGACTGCAGAGCGGGCCAACTCGTCAGCAAGTTCATTCCCAGCTATACCCCTGTGACTGGGTACCTAAATGAGGTGCATTTTGTTGTGGTTTAAGATATCGTTCTGAAATTCTGCACACGTCCTTTTCTCCCCAAGAAGACGCGCATTAATGATCAAACTCCAGTTCTTGTATGTAGAAATTTTTTATTTGACAAATTATTTTCACAAAAATTGGCAAGAATTATTACCTGAGGCAAGACCACAATCTACGAAGAAATTGTTCTGATCGGACCACTGCAGCATATAGCTGCGATATAAACTGAACGATCAAAATCAAGTTCTTGTAAGGAAAACTTAGTTAACTTATTTAAAGTTAACATTTTTCTTGTACTATTGTACAGCTAATACAAATTTAATTAATTGTAGTCTTTTTCTTCTATACATTACAAAGACTGTAAGAAATTCCTCACTTGGTTGATTTTAAATAAATAAAGTTTATATATATATTTAGATACTTACGATTTTTCTCTAGACATCCCTCCACAAACGATTACGCATATAATGCATATGCTTTATAAGAAGCTGTGAAACCAAAATTTTTCAGGGATATGTACCATAAATTATACAAACTTAATATTAAATTTTGGGAAAAATGGCGATATATTTTTCAACATAGACTCCTTTAAGCTCGATGTAGTTAACCCACCGAGGCTCCTATATTCTAAACCCGTCTGGAAAATAAGTTTTCTAGAGGAGATAAAGCGGACCAATAATTCGGGATAGTTGATGGAGATCACACTTAGAAAATTCAACTCTTTCAGAAACTTCTACGGATAGTGGGGACATTGGACGGTTAGGGCAACCGTATTCGTAGCTCTGTATATATATGTTTGTAAATACATATTTATGAAGGTTATTGAAAGTTATATAATAGGTGGATGTGTTTTGGGTGTGATTCTATAGTCATACATATATATGAAAATTATGGAAAGTGATCAATCTAAAATGGGAATATAATGTGCGATTATCAATCACTTACAAAGGGTAGAAATTAAATTCAAATTATGTTTATAAATAATGAGGTGCGGCTATGGAAGTTCTTCTAAGTTGTCTGCTTCAACATCGTTAGGTACTAGATAGAGGATTTACACCACATACCAATACTAATAAATAGTTAAAATAGTGACCTTCAAACGGCGAACCTGCTCAGATAAAGACGAAAACTATTTTATAAGCCGGAGAAGTGAAGGCCATTGTTTTCTGGAATTCACCAAATTGAATCCTAGATTACCTGGAAAGGGACAAAATGAGCCAACGCACTGACTCACATCTTTGTCGAAACTACAACCAAATTGGTTAAATTAAAACACGAACTGTTGACCCACTTTCGAACTTGAAAAAGAAAAGTACGTAATTTGAGTCCATTAAGGAGGTTATCACCAAGATGGAATCTAATTTACAGAGCTCTAGAAAACTCATTTTTCTGAAGAGTTAACGAAGTTAGATCATCGCTACATCAATTATAAAGAGTTAAAGACATACTATGTTATAAAAAATCGTAATTTTTCAAAAATTTTAGTTTTTCTATTGGATGCTAAACACTTATCGGATCTCCTCTCCACCTGGGTGGTAGAAGAAGAAAATTAAAATCTTGAAAATGAAAAATCTTGATTGGCGTAATTGAAGTTTACAAGTTAGCATCGCATATTACATTTCTGAAAATTTGTCTGTAACTGTACAATGTAAAAATATTCTAACAGCGAAAAAGTTCACTTTAAAATTATTTGTTCTTCAAGTCGGTTTTGTCGTTTGTTATTAATGTTTATATTTTTCGCTGAGTTCAACTCATTATTTTTTGATACTTGCTCTTAAGAATGTAGATAAGAAAATAATTTTGTAATCGACAAAATATAATATAAACCGGAAACAATTTTTTTTTATTTTCTTATCAGCTGTTTCTGTTCATTTATTATACTCTCGCAACCTGTTGCTACAGAGTATAATAGTTCTGTTCACCTAACGGTTGTTTGTATCACCTAAAACTAATCGAGTTAGATATAGGGTTATATATATATAAATGATCAGGATGAAGAGACGAGTTGAAATCCGGGTGACTGTCTGTCCGTCCGTCCGTGCAAGCTCTAACTTGAGTAAAAATTGAGATATCTTTATGAAACTTGGTAGACATATTTCTTGGTACCGTGAGACGGTTGGTATTGCAGATGGGCGTAATCGGACCACTGCCACGCCCACAAAACGCCATTAATCAAAAACAAATAACTTGCCATAACTAAGCTCCGCAATAAGATACAAGACTGTTATTTGGTACACAGGATCACATTAGGGAGGGGCATCTGCAGTTAAAATTTTTTTTTAAAAGTGGGCGTGGTCCCGCCTATAATAACAAAATTCACTCGAAGCAAATGTTTTAGCACTTTTATTGACCTTGTGAAAATAGTTGAAATCGGGTGGCAACTCCGCCCACTCCCCATATAACGGTACTGTTAAAAACTACTAAAAGCGCGATAAATCAAGCACTAAACACGCCAGAGACATTAAATTTTATCTCTGGAATGGTAAGAGATGACTTTATAGGAACCGCGTTAAAAATTAGACAATGGGCGTGGCACAGCCCACTTTTCGCTGAAAACCCATATCTTGGGATCTGCTTAACCGATTTCAACCAAATTCAGTGCATAACGTTCTTTTCATATTTCTATGTTATATTGCGAAAATTGGCGAAATCGGACTACAACCACACCTACTTCCCATATAACACCATTTTAAATTCCATCTGATTCTTTCACTTTCCACTATGCAAATCAGGCAACAATGATTATATCGGGGTAAAACTTTGCGTGAATAATGCAATTAAAATATGCCACCTTGTGGTCAAAAATTGTCTAAATCGAACCAAAACTGTTCAAGCCCCTAAGTACTAAATATGTGGACCCCAGTGCCTATAGTTGACCTTCTACCGAAAATATCAGTCAATCCACAAAGAAATCTAGTATACGAAAACGAGTATACTATAATATTTGACTTTGCGAGAGTATAAAATGTTCGGTTACATCCGAACTTAGCCCTTCCTTACTTGTTTTTAATTATTTTCGTTCTAGATTCAGAATTGAATTTTTACACAATCAAATAAAGTTAAACTTATTGTTTTCCTTCTCAGCGAAATTATTTTCCTTCCATGCATATTTCATGGGATATAAGCAAAAGTAATTGCTTACTCGGAGGAAGAGTAGAAAAAAATCAAAAGTGTAAAAGAGTATCGAAATTTTTTTTGCTCAAAGCAGACATCAATCATTGGTAGAATGCCAACCGCTGTGGAGTTTCTCGAACCAAAGCTTCATGTATTTTTGTACCCTGAAGAAGGTATATTTAGTTTACCTATGCGATCTAGACCCTCGGTTTTTGTGATATCGATCCGAAATTTCGCAAACGTCCTTTTCTTCCCAGAAGCTGCTTGTCGGAATTGCTATCATAGCTTATAGTTAGCATATCATCAGCGATCAAAAACATGTCCTTATATTAAAAACTTTTTTATTTGACGAGATAACTTCACGGAGTTGGGCATGGACTAGTATCCGAACGGTAAAATCTGCGAAAAAATTGTTCAGATGGGACTACTATAGCATATATATACATATTTATATAGCTGGCATACAAACTGACAGATCAAAATCATTTTATGCTATAAGCAATGCACCTGTGAAAGGTATTATAGCTTCGGTGCAGCGGAATTTAACGTTTTTTCATTTCCGTTTTTGTTAGCATTTGCAACTTTTCTTACAAGTCCGCCATTTTGCAAAAAACTGATGTGCAGCTAAAACTTTGCCTGTCTCTCCTCGCGGCTCTCTTCAAAAAACTGATTGCGAATATTATACAAATTTTAGATAATATCTATATCATTCATGATCTGATATACTTGTAATGCTTAAAATGATGCGATTCAAACAGGCATCGTTCTTTCTCACACACTAAACTTTTTATATAAACGTAGTCATACAAAGCGAAGTAAAAGTTCTATGTGAATTGGCCTTTGTCATCGTTAGTTCAAAACTGCGCCAAAATTTCAGACACTATTACTGTTATACAAATTAACGGGAATCTCTTGCTATTTCATGACAAGTGTCAATATAAAATTTAACAATTGCCATTATGTTGAACAATAATTTTTTATTAAATAATTCAAATAAAATGAAGTTAATCTTTTTGCAAGTACACGAAAAAAGCGCATAAAAATATACCTATATGTATGTATGTATGTGTACGAATTCAGCGAAAATATATATATTTAAACTATATTTTCAATTGCAGGCAAAACCTGTGCATGTAGTTAGGATGGAAATATTTTTTAACGGCTTGCAATAAAAAATCGTATATAATCTTAGTTTTCTCTAATGTTTAAGCCGTTCTGTGAGTATACAGTAAAATTTCATAACTTATTGTTTAACTGCTGTTTGTAGCGTTTGGCTTTTATTGCGTAAACAAATATTTGTTTGTATGTATGTATGTATATAGGTAGTTGCATCAAAAATTTAACTGATACGTATAGGAATAGTTATGTAACATCGTTTGTGTGTTTGTTTGTTTAGCAATAAACTTGCAAAATACTCGTATATGTAATGTGTGTATATATATATGACTACTTGCACATATGTATGTTACTATACAACGCTTTATATTTATAAATACGTAATGTAGTATATATTTGTTTTTAACTATGGGCTTAAATGATTGCAAATACATACATATACATACAGAGAGGACATATTACTTTAAAGTTGTTGCTTTCATTTATTTTTTCCGTTTTAAATACGTTCAAACTTGCTTGCATGTAAATACACATGTACAAGCATATTATACAATTTATACTCAACCCTTATCAGTGTGTCTAGAATTCAATTCCATGCGACGTTGACGTCAAGTATTATTCCTATATTTCTAGTATGTTCAGACACACTTTTTGTTTTTGTCATAGAGAAAATCTTCAATTTTAGTATTACAACCACTTTTCACTTCTTAATTGATGAATATGAAGAATGTATACACACACGTATACGTAAAAACACTTGCAATGACCAAAAATTTTATGTTTTGGCCTAGAGGGGGGGAAAAGTGAAAAACAAAAGAATAAAAAACGTTAACTATAATATCCTTCACAAATACAAAACATTCCATACAAGAACTTGATTTGGATCGGTCAGTTTGTATGGCAGCTATATGCTATAAAGGGTCCGATCTGAACAATTTCTGCGCCCACAGAAAATAATCTCTGCCAAATTTCGTGAAGATAATTTATCAAATAAAAAAGTTTTCCATACAAGCACATGAATTTGATCGGAGAGGTGATATGACAGCTAAATGCTGTAGACGGACGGACAAACAAACGATGGCAAAGCGACTCAGCTCGTAATGCTGATCATTTATATACCATATATATTTTTTTAGGGTTTTCGACGTTTCCAAACTTCGTGGCAAACTTAATATATCCTGTTCAGGGTGTAAATAAAAGCACCATATATATTAATGCTCTGCATATAAACGTAAAAACCGTATCTTAATTTTTTTAGAACGACATTTTTACAAACTTAAACTCCACCAATAAGCCATTCTAGCTTTTGGAAATGACTATAAACGTTGTAATGTTTATATATGTACAGATATACACATTTTAAAAATGTTTTGCGTTAAGTTCTACAGTGTGCCGAAAAAAATTGCAAGTTTTTAAAGAATAAATTTCTATATTTCATTGTGTTAATTTCTTCGAATTCATCATTTAATTACATCTTATATAAAAGATGTTTACATAACTGGATTTACATACCTATATCAGGTCAAGTATTGTCTCCCCAGTAGAATTTACTTAAACCTTATTTATTATATTTATGTTGCGACGACAACAACAACGCATGTAAATAAATTGTTTTGTCTTTTTCAATGTTATCTTTCCTACTTGTTGAGTATTGTATGCAATTTTTTTAGCTTACAGTTAATTTTTTTTAATAACTTCTCATTAACCTGAATATACATAAGTCGAAAAACCTAACTTGTGTGTTTGCTTAAAAATTATGCACTTACGATTAATATCTACTACTTAAGCAGCCTTTTGTTTTTAGGAGAAATCTAATTGAAAATTTTAAATATCAGCTATAGCATATTTTTCTTTAATATATATGTATATATATATCGGCTATTGAGCAAATAATATTTACAACTGTTTAGTAAAAGTTTCGGAACCAATAGTGAGTTATTAGTTGATAAAGCATTACTTACTTAAATACTTAAATACACAGGAAATTTATATTTCAAGTAAAAACTGAACAGTTTAAGACATAGGTATATACATATGTACTTTTAATTTCAATATGCAACAACGCGCAGTCAACCTTAATTTAACTAAAACCCTAATAATTATATTATATATATATAATAATTTTTGCTTTACGAAATGTAGAGGAAAAAAAACTCCTAAATATTTTTTATGCCTACATTTACAAATCATTCAAATATGCATGTCTGTTTTAACAAATACCAAATAAACATACATGCATTTTTTCGTTAGGTATATGAACACATTAGAAGTTTAACGAAATATTGTTAATTTACAAGGAAATCATGGTAAAATCTGTCGAGTTATGTAATTTTCATGTGGAAGGCAATGAAAAATACTAGCTGCTTTAAGTTTACATTCACTTATGTAAGTATGTATACATATAGTATGTATGTAGGTAAATATAGTTTTTACTGTATTTCGGCTTTGCCAAGGATAAATTATTCGTAGCGGAATTGAGTTACACAAAACTGTACTGGTTGTCGACCGCGCGTGGACCCATTTCATTTGCGTTCAAATCGTTAATGCTCGCAACTCTTGCACTAGTATTATGATGTGAATTCTGTAAATGATAATTAAATGTAAATGTACATCCATATATGTGAGTAATTATTATTTTGTTTTTACAGTGTAGCCAACAAACATCGAAAGAAATGCTTCTCCAACCTTTAAGAAATTTGTAGTTCTCGAGTGGAGTACTTAGCATTGCTATAAACATAAGAGTCAATGTCATTTTTTTGTTGAGAACTCGAATACTCTTCAATTGAGGTACGGTGGAAAAATACCATTGGAAGTTGGAGAATTATGTTAACTCTCCAATATAGTTCTGATTTGCCTCAAACTGCAATGTTTGTTAGCTATATACAAAACAACGTATGTAAATATGTACCGGCGATTGTAGTGATACTGTTGATGCTCGTAGTTGTGGCGCGTTTAGTTGTTGTTGTTGCTGCTGCTGAAGCTGATGCGGTTGTGATTGTTGCTGCTGCTGTGTTGATATTTGCGACGGTTGTAAATGTATATGATGGTGATGCGGCTGTTGTAAAAACGGTAACTCAATTTCGCACGTTTTTAAACGCACACTCATGTTCAATGTGATTACATGCTGCGGCTGCAATCCGCCCGTAAACAAATGCATTTGTGGCATGGAATAATAGGAAGAAAAGAAAAGACATGGCACTTTGATTTTGAATATGTGACACGAACAGATTGCGTGCGACTGGTGTTAGTATTATTTGGTTTTGTTGTGGAAAGCTGATGACTCAGATCCATGCAACTAAACGTAAAAAGGATTTTCAATACAAACATACATAGTTATGCATATACTTATTATATGAAGAGAAATAGTATCTGATGAGCAAAAAAAAAAATTATAATAATAAGTAAAAAATAATTAATAACAATAAAAGATATTGTGCTAATTTTAACATATACAAACTAGACGAACACAAAACGATAAGTAAACCTTTACTTAATTTAAATTTAAAATCAAAACTACCATTAAATTTGTACACAATTTTTGATTTTTTACAAGTGGTAGTAGTTATAACTAATGTTTTACGCTTTATACTCATTGTTCGTATTGAAAGCAAGTCAATGTAAAATTTAATGGCCCCGTGTTGAATTGTTTCAACAATGTGAAAAAAAATTACAAAATAAAATACGAAAACATCAAATCAAAATCATCACTGACACTGAATGGACTCCAAAATTTAGGCTATCTCACATGTCTCGGTGATGGATGCTGTTGCTGTTGTTGTTGTGGTTGTTGTTGATGCGCACCGTTTGTCTCATTGCTACTGGCATCATTTGTGCCGCTACACGAAGTTCCTTGATTATGTACCCACTCGGTTAGTGTAACATCTGATGTACCGCCCGATTCTAATGGTATTGGATTGTGCCGAAAGTGCTCGAGCATCTCCTGAATCGAAGGAAACCATAAATGCTGCACGCGGCATTGGCCCTTCTCCGACAAGGTCATACGTAAATGTTTAGCACGCCCTTGGAAATTGAATGTCAGCACAAATTCACCTTTGCGCGTTTCACTTTGGCGCACTAAAAAAAAACCATGTCCTGCCGCTTCTGAATGTAATACCATACGAGCCGCTTCTGAACGCGGCAGTGTACCATGAAACCATGGATACTGCCGCATTTCGGCCGTCAAATCAGCTACATTTATATCTAATTCGGTATCACATTCGGGTTCGAAATTACTCGATGCCGATAGGCGTTGTTCACCTCTTTCGCCAGGTCCGACACGTCTCGGTGGTATATCGGGTATACCTTCCATTGCATTTACATCATTACCAATAGTTGCTGTTGCACCTACGCTCGCATTAGCAGATACCAATGCATTGTCCGATTGCGAACTGCTTGGGCCGACATTGCCGTTAGAGCCAATTATGTTTGTTTGATGGTATTGGGGATTATTAATGCCACCGCTGCGTGGGATAGTGCCATCTGTGGAAGTTAAATTGCCACTCGGACTCATAGCCATTGAAGATGTCGCTGAAATGCCACCCATTATCCCGCCGACACCACCACCTCCAGTAAGTAATGCATCTGCCGATTCCAAGGGCAATTGCTGCGTGGGCGGTGTACGCATGCAGTAACGTATAGTTGCTAACCAGCTGTGCATTTCGTCACTGCTCTCTGCCTCAATAACATATTCCATATTGTTATCTGCCTTCAAAACAAAAGTATTTTCACGGTCGGGCATTTCAAGTCGAGTTGTTTTTCTCGCCTCCGATATTAGGAAACAAAACACGCCACTTCGAGGCTGAAATAAATAATTTTTATAATTATAAAGAAACGTAGTTATATTTACAAATAAAACGCTGAGAAACCTTTGTAGCTTTAGGTGGTGTGTAAAACTCCAACATATAGCCGCCAACAGCTTTCACCAGTGCCAGGCGACATTTTTCCCATTTTTGTGTGCCTGTTGGTTGATCCAAGCTTTCCGGTGTTAAATTATAGACGTAACCTTCTTTACGACATTCGACAATAATTTTCGAGATCTTTGTCTTGCTGTGTTTGCTGCCATCTAAATCATCGCTGTTCTTATGAAAAAGTGTCTGCAGGAACAAGAAATTCTAATATTAAAATTATTAAAATGAACTGTTCAACATCATGATATAGCATGTATAGAAATCTAATAGATTTGGTAAAACTATTGCCCACCTTGCCCTTGCGCAGACCTTTGAACGAAAGCCTTCGAAAGAATGCTTTGTGAAAAATTTTCGGTGAATCTTCGACTGTGTTGCCACTTTCCTCTAATGAATTTCCATTACCAGTCTACAAATCAAATGAAAGCAATGTTAATTTATTTTAAATACGTTACTCTCAAAAAGATCAAACTAACCTTAGCATTACTACGTCTATGGCAAAATTCGGTTTCGAAATGATCCACAAATGCCTCGGCAAACTTCTGTCCAAAGCTGCGATATGAAATATTGCGCGCCTCTTCGGGTGGCAAGTTTCCATTTATATAGTTTATACAAGCTTTGGCAAAGTCAGCGGCCGCTACACGTGAATGACGTTCACAGAATTCCTCCCAACTTGTGCCGTAAGCATAAGAAGTACCACTAGCAGCACTCATATTTGGTATGAGATCACCGCCTACTGCACCGCCACTGCTACCACCAACACTACTTCCGCTAGCAGGCCCAATATAGCCACCAGCGGTAAAAGTATTTGTTGTACTATTACCGCCCATTTATTTAATAAATTGTGTTTATTAATATTATACTGTATGTGGCACAAATTTTTCTGTTGTAAGAATGCTATAAATTAAACAAAGTTATATAATCTTGTATTTGTGCACTATGTCCATTAGTTATGTATGTAAATATATTATTTTTAACTTAACTCATAAAGCCAACCCACGAAAACGATGCTTCTAGGGTGTTATCAGTAATTTATGTGCACATACATATAGCTCACATACGTATATTAATATTTTTGTGTGGTTTTATAAAATATCTATCCATAAGTTTATACCCTAAACAGGGTATATCGGAGACCTTATAAAGTTAGATTTAAATTAACAGTATGACGAGCTGAGTCGATTTGGCAACCCGGCCGTCTGTATATACGCAAAATAGTACCCAGTTTTTGAGATATTAATCTGTACAACCATTAATTCTCTCCAAGCAACTGCTCATTTGTCGGAACTGCCGATATCGAAGCACTACAGCAATAGCTGCTATAGAAACTGAACAAACAAAATCATGTGGAAAACTTTTATATTTGACAAGATATTTTCACGAAGTTGGAATAGAATATTGTCTATTGCAACGGTACAATCTCCGAAGAAATTGTTTAGATCGGACAACTATAGCATATAGCTGTCACACAACGAACCGATGAAACTCAAGTTTGAAATGGTGTCTTTTGTATTTATGAAGGGTATTAGAGCTCCTGTGGAACCGAAGTTAATGCTTTTTTCTTGTTTAAAATAAAATATATTCCTTTTTGAGATGAGGAAACATATGTATATTTATGTACATGTGTATATAATATACATGTACATAGTTGGAACTAAATCCCCATTCATATTTTTAGCACACTTAAAAAATAGCTGTCGCAATTTATAATTTTGCGATATTAAACTTACATTGAAGCTATATATGTATTCTGGTTTTCTTAGAAGAAAAGTTATTTCTCTGTTAAGATGCGCATTTTCTTATGGTGTATGCTTCACGCCTTTTATTGTACACATGGATTTTCTCGTCCTCTTAACAACGACAAACAGCACTTATTTCACATTAAGCTTATCTAAGCATTTCCAATATATCTGCGATATATTTTTAATTATTTCTTGCACATATTCATTTATTGATATACATTTATTTATTAAAATGTTTGTTTCTAACGTTTTTATACACAAATAAAAGCGGAAAAGCTGGAAAACACACTAAAGAGGAGGAAAAATTTTCACTTTACTATTGTAACCGGAATTGCCAACTACACAAATGATATTGCCAACAATAATTAAAAATAAAGAGTTGCCAACTGCAAAATGAACGTTCGTTCCCACGACAATCGGGTCTACGTAACCGGAACGGACCCGAATTGTTATCCGGCCAAGGACTGTCAACACGGCAGAGTTCTGATGCTACAACAACAACAAGAAATATAACCGTTAAGCTAATCACAGAAACGTAATTGGCACATCAAAATGTATTGTTATGTTAATTACGTGTTAAGACCGTCAATAAAAAAATTAATATGAAATCAGCCATATTTTATGGGAAATATATATTTATCACCATAACCGGTTCTATGTTATCTATTTTTTCAGTAATCTAATCCTACGACCTATCGTTGTACAAATATTCTTACCGCTGTATTCTGGCACAGTAAAAAGAGCAGCATTCACGCGATGCCTATCTTCTACCAAATTTCGGAATTATAAGTGAAAAGTAATTTGGAAATTTTATATAATAGAAACTCTATCCCCTCGACCGTCGGGTTTGTATAACCAGAACGGATCCGGATCTTTATCCAGCCAAGGACTGTCAACTCGCCTGTTTTCCTCCAAATTACTTCAGAAATGTTTCTTGCCGCTACAACAACATTACATATGTGAACGCCAGATACTGAAAAAAGTTTTGAGAAATACAGCAATTCAAATGTTTCATATATATTTTTTTATTGTTAAACAATTTACTTATATTTTAAAATTATATCAAATAGTTTAACATAAAAAATTTGTATTTATGTATATTAAATATAATATTAGACCTTATTTCATCAGTTTTGCTAATCCTTATGCAATTTACCTTTAGTTAGTAAATTAATACAACAGTAATAAGAATAAAAATAAAAACTAATTTTAAATTCAACATATTCCATAATACTTACGTATATATAAGTATATTTAAAAATTGCCTTTACTTAATAGCTACCGTTGTGATTTTTATTTTACAAGTTTTATTTTGTAAAACATTTCTACCGTTAAGTGCTGCTTATTTGTGTTGTGTATTCAAACTTCATCTGCAATTTGAAATCATGAGTTGTGTAAATATAAAATACATATATACTATCGTATTTTGATAAACACTCTCCTGAAAAAAATAATCTCGGACAATTTTGTTTTGTGATAAGGATATGAATTTTACTTATGAAATTAAAAAATCTTTCAACTATTAGAACGAAAACATCGATGGGTTCATTAAGAGACATAGAAAGATCATGTTGAAACAAATTATACTGATATACATTTATAAGTGTTACGTTGTTTGTTTTTGTCTTTGCTTATTGTTTATAAGAAATGCATTGGTTTTAAGTTGATTTTTGTATATTGTTTGCTGATGTATAATTTCAGATAAGATGTTTATTTACCAAATGTACCTCAGTCAAGATGAGCCTAAAGAAATACAAATTATCTTTAATTTGATAATTTATTAAAAATTTCGTACTTTGCTATGCGTATTAGATATTTAAAACTAAAGTATAAAAAGTTGCTATCAATAATCTTAAGTTATTTATAGCAATTTATGTGTGATAAAGACAATAACTCCAATCTACAGTTACTCATAAATGAAACATGTACGCAGTTTTTAAAACACAATATGGACTTTTAAAGTTTTTGATTTAAGTCTGTGTTTTTTTTGTATATAGCATTAAAACTATGAATACGCACATAACATTTTATTTGGATTTTCTATGATATAAAACATTCATTAATACATTTTCGTTGAAAATCATACAACAACATAAAACGTTCACTTCGATTGCACCGGAACTATAATACCCTTCACAAATAAAAAGGTTTCCATACAAGAACTTGTGTAGAAGTGGTCTGATATCGGTTCCGACAAATTGAAAGCGTATGAGAAATTTCAGAACCATATCTCAAAAACTGAGAGATTACTTCGCGTATATATAGACAGTCGACGGACATGACTTAATCGGCTCAGCTCGTCATGCTGATCATCCTTTTTGGGTGTTAGAAATTTCGTGGCAAACTTAATATACCCTGTTCAGGTATAAAAACCGAAGTTGCACTAACAAGATAAATCTTTAGTGCTCATTAGCCTTGAGTGCCACCAACAGAAAATGCGAAAACTTTTCTGAATAACTGTATTTAAATTATTTTTAACATCTTTGAGCAATTGTATAATTATTACAATGTATTTGTAACTGTATTGAAGTAATAAGAGTTTATTTTCGAATAGTTATAATAATAAAATTTTAGTTTAAACACTTTAAAAAGCTGAAATAAAACAAGGGAGAATTGAACGATAGAACCCACTGCAGTACTTTGTCATGCAAATTTCATTACAAATTGCTAACTATAAAAATTAAAATATTATTACCAATGGTTATATTAATACTAATGTAATATTAAACAATATCTCAAGAATACACATATAATGTGCTATCAATTAATGATGAGTAAACAAATTTAACTGGATTTTAATAAAATAGTTTTTGGTTTGGTTTGGATTTTATTCTTTTCTGCATTTAAAGAAAGTTATAGAAACTCCGAGTGATTTTTGTCACGAAAGAAGAACAAGCCATTAATTAATATAATAGTATTTCATAAATGTCTGACTTATGTTTTATTAAAAAAATATCTAATAAATTTATATTTAAAAGTTAGTTAAGGGGTTAGGAGTAGTCAGAAAAAATCGATGTTTTTGCATTTTCTTAAATCATTCATCGAAATATTCTATGAAAATTTTAAGTAAATTGGACAAAATTTATTCAAGTTATTTTATAATTAGCAAAGGGCGCTCTAAAAAGTAATTTATTACTTTACGTAAATTGATTTTAAAACTTTGGTGACTACTATAGCTCGAAAACCGCTCGGTACATTTCAATGAAATTTATATAGCTTTTTGAAAACTTGGAAAACTAGTGCCTTCTCAAAGTATTTTTTTCTGAGGCCGCCATTAGGTTATTAAAAAAAAACACTTGATTCAGGCCTAAGATTATCTATTAGTAAAACTAAATTTTTTTGTCCTATTGATTTTACATGAATCTCCAATTAGATTGTGATGGTTACCGCAAGGACCTTCGGTTAGAACTGGTTCAACACAACAGCTATTACTTTCAAATTTTTTTTAAATTTTTTTATGTCTCTGACTACACCTAAGCTCATAAACAGTATTGAGAAATCTTTTTGTGTTTAATCATCGAAAACATAGGAAAGTTTTAATATATTTACTTCAATTCAATTAGCTTTAATTGTGAAATGTATAAAAAGTAAAATGTTAATAGGTCAATACTGTCAGAATGAGCTACTACAGCGAGTTTTCGTTGTTTCCTTAACATAAAAAAACTGAAAAAGGTTTATAATTTTTTGCCCTCTAATGCATTATTCACATATTCATAATTGTTCACTAATTTGCTTAAATCGATTTTTAAAAAAATTCAGTTCTATATAAATCAACGAAATTGATTCGTTCAGATGATAGTTATACCTAATGAGTACTGTTTATTGTATGTATGAATGTGTTCTTGTATGTTTGTATATATTTATGCATTTCTATAGAACTCATCATTATTAATGTGCGGATGTGGATTCGTAAGATGATATACTTAGGCATGCATTTTACGTAATGGAAATATGTAATCATACATCAACATTACTGTAATATGTATATTGCTCAAGTGCGCTAAATTTTGGCTTTTTTCACTATTGAATACAGTGTTGTATTAACGGATGTTGTACATAAAAATACGTTACTGTTATTGAATCTCATTTTGATATCTGAGCGCATTGCACTTAATTGTTAATATTTTTTTAGTTCAATGAATACTTTTATAATAAAAAAGAAATAAAATTAAACGCAAAATGAGTAAATAAATTTCCTTGTCTTAAACTCTTAATTCAGCATACATACTAAGTAATATTCACAACCCCCACCCTCATGCATGCTACAAGTTGGTCTATATCTAGTTATTACTATAATTAAAATACAAAAACTAAAATAATTCATTCCTTGTATAAACGTAGTTCGTTGAACGTATACGAAGGAAAAAAGAGGCTAAGCACTCAGACTTCCAGTTGCTTTGATGGTTGCTGCGTAATAAACGGTTCACTCCACATGCGTCGTAAGTCGCCCTACAAATATTTATCAAAATATGTTAACATCTAAAGAATATTTCAGTGCCAAAGTAAATCTAAATGATCTCTTTTAAAAATACCGACAATTATGGAAACCCGTTGACATTGTTATAAACAATATTTATTGAAATTTCTGTTGCAATTTCGGAACATAAAAGGATTCTATTTTGCTCCCCTAATTAATATAGGTTTTTTGATTAAAAATGTATTACCTTGAGATAAGCCATAGTCAACAACGGTAATAACGTGAACGGCACCAAGTATAACAATGCCGGTTGTGCTGCTTTGAAAACTTCTGAACTAACGGTAGCGGTGAGCAGACCAAGAAAGTAGCTATAAAAAAAAAACAAATTTTGTTGTGTTATTATTATTAACGATGAAATATTGCAAGCAAAATAAGGATAAATATAATATAATTTATTTTAGTATAAATAAGTATATCGTCTAAAAATTACACAATCACAATAGACTCACCCCAATAAGGAACAATGGAAGTAGGTAAGCCTCGAACCGACTCCTTTCGGTGGCTGCAACGTGGGATCCGTAGTGATGCCCTGCGATTTCTTATATGCATCATAACGCAAAACAAAACATAACAGCAAACCCGGCATCACTATATCACCCAGACCCAACATCGAAAAATGCCCATTATTGTGTATGCTTGGAAAAACTAATTTGCCTGGCAAGTTAAGTTTCGGCGGCTCTTTCACAATACCACCCAAGTTTAGTTTTCGCGCTACTATGCCAACCGGATTGTCAGCTGGCCGGGTGGCCACCTTAACCATTACGTTCGTGCTAAAGATATACGATGAAAAGAAAACCCAGAAGACATCGTAGATGAGCAGTCCAGTTAGCAAAAGTGTAGACACCTTAAGACTGGGCAGGCGTACAAAAGCGATAAATGCCACACATAGACCCATGCCCATCGCTATGAAGTATTTAAAATTTAAGGCGTAAGCAACACATAAATAGTGATAAATGCATTTCAGTGCAAGAACTTACCATCCATTAACAGCCAATGTCCGGTGAGTACCCAAATGCATACAATTGACACAGAGAGTGCAAAACTGAATAATTCAGCGCCAGTGAAGCGACCACATATACCAAACGATATGCGATTACCATCGGTGCATGGTCGTATAATGTACTGGCACATGGGCAATAGCAGAAAAGCTAAAGCCACTGTAGCAATTACTATAAATAATGAAAACAATTAGTCAATAATTTATGCTTCATTATATAATATGTGGAAAAGTCCAATGAAAATTAACTCACTTGCTGTACAAACGGCGAAAAGCAATTGCATTGAATCGAAAAAGAAAAACATTACCAATAATGAAACTGAAGCGCCGAGTGGCAGGCACAATGCATGCATTGTATCAAGCGTAGCGAATTTGCCTAAAAAAGAAGCGATTAGAAAAATTTTAATATAAATTGTTAATTTACAAAATAAAATAACTATAATACTTACTAGTCTCTTGCTCTACAGGTTCGCCTGTTAGTAAATTCAACATTGATTCACTACGCTTCTTTTGTTCACGTTCACGAGCCTCCTGTTCTATATTCAAACTACGAAAACTGCCATAGACGATCAACAGCATCGAAATGAGACATGTAGAAACGCGTGAAGAATCCATGACATTCGATGTCCAATGTACTTCACGATATTCTGTGGTGGCGGACTGTGCGTTAAGACTACTGCTATCGACGACTGCTGCTCCTGCTCCCCCGCTCACTATACCGTGCGACATTGCGCGCCGTAATTGATAACAGCTTGTACGTAGTCGTATGCTATTGTGCGTTGTACGCTTGCGCACTAGCGTCTAACAACGCCACAAACACACGCACACACACCCCCTTGTGAATATACACACTAGATACGAATTGCTTAAATCAATATTGATGCACCACCTTTTCCTGCAGCACACCAAGTGTTATACGCACATATAAGTATATTTAATTATTTTACTTTCGCTTCGGCCTGCGTGATAGTATTGCTTAGTTTGTTTATTGTGTGCGTCGACTGCCTGCCGCCAAAGTACCATCCACATATGTAAATATTTAGTAGTTTGACCGGTAAGTTTGCTGATACTGTAGCTTTTAGATACCTGCTAAGTAAACAAAGCTCCTGCTCAATGTGTTATTACACATGCACACGTCCGAGTGCCTTATCAGCAGGGCAGGCAACGGAACAGCGAATGGTTATAACCTGAGAAAGCCGCGTTTTATGACAATATTGCAGCAATTATTGTAATACTTGTATCAAGAATGAAGCAAACAATGTTAAGTAGACTGATCGTTCAATGACTTTCATACGTTTACTGAAATAAAAAATAATAATATTGTATAATTATTAAAAAAAGTAAATAATCTTGTTAATATTAAATTTACAAAAATCTCTTAATCCTATTTATAAATTTCATATACATATAACTGATGAATTTAAATTATCTCACAATTCAAAATGCTACGTTTTTGTCATGTTACCATAATATTCTTAAGAAATAATCATATACCTAAAAAAATTAGTATAATAAATATATTTTTGGTTGGTTGATTGAAAAGGGAGGCGCAAGAGTATCATTACGCCCAAGGTGATGCCGGGTGCTAACCAAATTAAGCCTGAACAAAGCTAAGCAACTAAAAAAAACCCGGTGTTATATGGGAAATAGGTGTGGTTGTAACAAGATTTCGCCCATTTTCGCACAATAACATAGAAATATGAGAAGAATGTTATGTACCGAATTTGGTTGAAATGCAGGTTAAACAGATCCCAAGACATGCGTTTTCACCTAAAAGTGGGCGGTGCCACCCCGTGTCTAATTTTGAACGCGGTTCCTGTAAAGTCATCTCATACCATCCCAGAGATATAATTTAATATATATGGGGAGTGGGTGGAGTTTCCACCCGTTTTCATCCATTTTCACACTGTCGATACAGCTTTTCAACTCGCCTCTTCATCCTGATCATTTATATATACATATATGACCATATATCCAACTCGATTAGTTTTAGCTGTTAAAAAAAACCCGTTAGGTTAACAAACTATTATACACCGTAGCAGCATGTTGCGAGAGTATAAAAATTATCATGATAACCCGGTAGTATATAAACAATATAACATGGCTATTGGATGTAGATAAAACGTAAATTTATTTCCAAGAAAATTATCACGTAAAGCACATGAATATAGACAGGTCGTATATAAATAGTTCAAAACTTGTTTAATTCGAATAAGAAACAGTACGATATCTTTGGGTTTGTTTACACAGATGTTTTTAGAATATGTCCCCCAATAAAATAACAACGGATATAAGTGTCAAAAAACTAAAACTCGTCTTTAAATAACATTATTTGTTTTTATACACGTTCTTATATAGATATTATAGCTTGCAGTTTTGGCTTTCGAAGTACAACCTCGAACCGCGGGGAATATTGCTTTTTAGTAGTTGAAGTAAAGCGAAATGCTTTTTTTAATTTGTGACTTACCTATCTATACAGAGTTAGATCGCCGATACATTATATATCCTTGGCAAGAATTTAAAATAGTATCCGCTGAATATCGGGCGGATGGAGGAGGTTCTCCAAATTAAGATGCCGCTGACTTATGGTTTTTAAGATATTTTGATTGCATAAAAACGGAAGATTATACCGGATATACAGAACTCATAATCGTGTGATGGGTAATGCAATATGTTTCAGTATTTCTCTTTTCTCAATAAATTTAGGAGTTGATTTGACCAGTGACCAACGAATTGAGGACACCCCGATGTTGAACTGTTAAGGGTTAACCCATGGTTAAACCGACTTTAATTGCGAATTCCGGGATGCTATTTTAAAATTTACATTCTCCTTTTTATACCCTGAACAGGGTATATTAAGTTTGAGCGAAATTTTTAAAAGCCGGAAGGAAATGTCGAAAATATTATAAAATGTATATATAAATGAACGACATGACGAGCTGAGTCGATTTAACCGTGTGTCTGTCTTTATATAATATATAAATATCTTTTAATACCCTTTTATGCTATAAGAAATGCACCTGTAAAGGGTATTATAGCTTCGGTGCAGCCGAAGTTAACGTATTTTCTTGTTTATATTAATAATATACTCCAAATGTATACGATTTTATATACAACAGAGAACGATATTTATTCTTATGTTGCCATTAGCAAAACAAAGAAGATAACTTGTACGAACAGTTTTGCTGTAAAAAGAAGAATTACGAAGTACCACATTAAAAGGAATTAAAAAAACTTATGTTGTTTTTGTGTTACAGTAATTATCTTCATATTTACAACTTTATTATATACAGAAAATTGTAATTGTAGCTAGCAATATAATGAGAAAGTTTTCGGTTTGGAAACACATATAAACTTGGCAAATTTGACGTAAACCTAATTTATTTTTAAATTAATTTATGAGTCTTTATTTCGTTAATTACTCTTAGCATATGCATAATTCATATACCAACTCTTTTCTAACTTTAAGCCAAGGAATACCACTTACCAAATACTGCGAGTTTTTCAGTTTGCTTAAATACATTTCCACAGCACTTTTCTTCTATAATGCACATAGCTTACGTCAAATCTGCGAAAACATATTTTTTATATATAAACCCACAATGGATACCAGCATATTTGGTAAAAGTTTGCATCTCTTGCATATATATTTGGTAGATAACTTTATTAATATTCAGTGGCTTTTTTCGCCATTTAAATTTGAAATTAATACACGCATTCCATTATTTTATTCAATTCGTTTACACTTGAACGCACTGTGCACAAAAACTATTCGCAGTTTTCTTTCTTATTGTCCATTTTCATCTTTAATCCATTAGTGTTTGCTTACCTTTCCTCATATATGTATGTATTTATGTTAACTTTCTCACTCTCATATTTATTATTTCTACGCTTTCATTGCTTTTTGAATGGAGTGACCAAAGGTTTTTTGTCATATATTTCTGATTGAAGAAATTGTCTAACTTAAAAAAAGATTCATACCACATGAACAGTTGATATCATTATAAAAATTAAAAAATAGTAAATTTAAATTAAAACTCTGTTTTGTTTATTTATGTACAGTTAAAAATAATTAAAACCCTTGTCCTTTAGTAAAGGTGGGTGCATTATTTGTTATTAAACCAAACGTTAAAGTCTGGTAACATCACTTTCGTAATTTGTAACATATACGCCGAGGTGCAATTCTTTGATTAAATTTATCAAATTGTGTGTGCCTTTCTTCAATAACTAAGTATTTATATGAAAAATAACTTTTTGCTACTCGAAATCATCCTTTAATTGATTTTCAAGTTAATGAATTACGAAAATCTTGAGAATAAAATTACTTCATTCCGTCAACCAGAATTTAATACTATCGTTGCAAACTGCCTTTGGGTTGTTGTTGCATCACTAGTGTTGCTGTATTGCATTTATAAAAATGCATAGTACCTTATTGAAACTTAGCACACAAAATAGTACAGATATCCGATTATGTATTTATTTATAAAACAATATAAATTAATTGTAAAAACTTTTTATCTTAACTAACTATTATCAGGCTCCATGTATGTTGTAGAATATTTATGCTTGAAACAAAAAAGAAAAAATGCCCACGGGAATAGTTATATAATTGTACACAATTCTCTGCTAATTAACCATTAAGCAGCAAGTTCTTTCAGTACCTGTCCGGCTATTACCAGACGTTGTATTTCGGATGTACCTTCGTATATCTCGGTAATACGTGCATCACGATAGAAACGCTCAGCTGCCATATCGCTTACGTAACCCATGCCTCCTAAAACTTGAATGCATTGATGTGAACAGAATGTAGCTGCTTCAGATGCTGCCACTTTTGCCATTGCCGCTTCTTTCGTATATGATTTACCATTATCTTTCAGCCAAGCTGTACGCCAAACTAGTAATCGCGATGATTCTACCCTCAGCGCCATGTCCGCCAGCTTTTGTTGGATAATTTGTAATTTAGCAATTGGTTTGCCAAAAGAATTACGATTTTGCGCATAATTCGTTGCCAGTTCTAGCGAGGCTTGAGCTATACCTAGCGCTTGACTTGCAATCCCAATTCGACCTCCATCCAAAGATTGCATTGCAATTTTGAATCCATAACCAGGCCTACCTAAAATATTTTCTTTTGGAATTTCGCAATCTTCAAAAATTAGCTGGCATGTGGAACTTGCTCGTATTCCTAATTTGTCCTCTTTTTTTCCAAGCGTAAAACCTTTTAAACCTTTGGGTACGATAAACGCTGATATGCCTTTGTGCTTCAAAGATTTATCTGTAGTGGCGAAAACTATGCCAGCTCCAGCTTCATAACCACTGGTTATCCACATTTTCGTACCATTCAAAATATAGCGATCACTCTTTTCCGTTGCGGTTGTAGAAGCAGCTCCTGCATCTGAACCATTTCCAGGTTCCGATAGCGCAAAAAAGCCGACTTTGTCTCCAGATGTGTAAGGTTTCAACCAAAAATCTTTTTGTTTTTGTGTTCCATATGCAAGAATTGGCCCTAAAAATAGGGAATTATTAACAGACATTATCACACCACATGATGCACATCCACGAGATATTTCTTCCATTGCAATACTATATGCCAAATAATCTAAACCCGTGCCGCCTAATCCAAAAACAAAAAATACATTTTAAATCACTATTGCGAGTAGCATGAATTCATACAAACCAAATTCTTCCGGAGTTGTTATAGCCATAAGTCCAAGTTGACCCATTTTTTTTAACTGATCTTCCGGATATAAATGTTCACGATCATGTTTAGCTGCTTTTGGTACTATTTCGGCGTTAACAAAATCTCTACATGTTTTCTGTAACATTTGATGAGTATCAGGAAGTGCAGATAAACAGGCAATACCCCTTATTGCAGGATTCTGAAGAGTACCATGGCGGCCTATGTGAAAAAATAAATAAATACACACACACACACATACGATATTTACGAACCAAAGTTCAATTAAGTATCAAAAATGTAAATTTATCTTTTCTTTCAGCAAATTTCTGTACTTACCTAGAAATTTAGTTATATTAACGAGCGACTGCATAATGAAACGAACAATTAGAATATCAGCAAATGAATGTTTTGCTTAGCAAATAAACTTAAATATAAATATGCACTTATCAAAGCAAAGTATTAAAAAAAAACAACAAATGCAAAAACGATGATTTTTTAAACAGTTCCTACAGTCGATAGAAATTATCGATTTAACTTCTGTATCAAGTCGAGTATAGAGGAGAATTGTGTATATCGCAAAGCTTTTTAGAAAATTGAAAACTCTCTGGAAAACCATACAAATACATATACTACGTAGGAGTTTAGCTCTTTCTAATTATATTATAACACATATATTTCGTATATATGTACATATATATCGTTAAAAATAACTTTTTAATTTGCATTTGCTTTAATTTCTAAAAATATACGTTTGTATGAAAAATTACTTTATTTTCTACTCAAAGTAATATCTGCGGTTTTGTGATTTTTATTTCGTAAAATAACCTTATATTTATCAAAATATTATAACATTATACAGTATTTACCGAATATTTTGTCAATACTTTAAGTTTTCGATTCTGGTTCACTTTGAGTTTCAAAGTAATGGCGAATTCTTTGCTTTAAATCGTATTTAATGTATTCATATGTGAAAGCAAATTCTACGGCATTCAATGAAAGTTGTAGTAAATCGGTTTTCTTTAAATTAAAAGTGTTTTTTGCTAATACGAATTCGTTTGACAAGGTGGTGTCGAAAATACCGCAATCGTCAGTGCATAGTATTACTGGCGCTTTTTTGGCATTAAAAATGTGTTTAAAATGATGATCATTGTAACTTCTTACAGTTGAACATTTTACATTACTCGTCAAACAACATTCGATGGCTATATTTTTTCTACATATTTCATTTAGTTGAAGCTCACTTAGAAAAGTACCATGACCACAACGTTCCATGCCAAATTTAATCATTTGATCAATTTCTGTTGCATTGTCAATTTCTGCACAATGTAAAGACAACTTTAAATTATTTTGTCGAGCTTTTTCCAAAACTGGTATAAAATCTGCAAAATTACCCAGTTTCGGATTACCGCTGAAGTCAATACCTGAGATAATGCCTTTATATGTGTCCTGTAGTTGCAATGCAATATTAACTGTTTCTTCAGCATCAGCTACGCTCTTACTTCTATCAATAGATAGCAACAAATTTACACGAGTACTTTCAGTTTTCTCCGATCGTTCCATGGCCTCCAAAACACTATCCACATATTCTAGTTTAGACATTTCCGCATTTTTCTTAGGAGTTGTTCGTAATTCTAAATAAATCACATTATCCTTTGCAAAATCTCTTATCGTTAGCTCAGTAGCTAATTGTAGTCCCCTTTTAGTAGCTGTTAATTCATGCATAAAAGGGAACTTAGAAAAGCATTTGTCAAGATCTACACCATCGAAATTTATTAACTTATCGCTGAGTAAAAGTATTTCATTGGAATTCACACCGTACAGCTGTTCGCACAACTCTTGAATTGATTGAGTACATAATGATCCGTTGAGATGTGCATGTAATTCAATCTTTGGCATCTTTCGTATAAAAGTAGTTATATCCATCGCAATCGGGTTATTTTACTGAAAATCAAACATACTTTACTAAGAATAGGTATATAAAAAGTAAAAACATTTCGATTAATCAAATACCTTTTACATCTTTTTTTTATATTTTTGCCGTGCTCTATCAGCTGTGCACAAAGAAGTAAACAACCGGTGATGGTATGAAAACAATTAATAATATCAATATTGTAACGGATTTCTCGATAAATCGTCTACCTGTAACGCAGTCTTGAGTCCGATCACTGGATTGTTAAATTGTCCCAATTTTATGGCTATGCAGTTATCTTTATTTCTAATTCAAACAATTTAATGCTTTACTACTTATGCGAGCTTACAACTTCTTGCTTATATCTCAATTGCTCTTAACAACGACAACACTCTAACTAGTACAGTATTTGCTGCACAATCCGCCAACCCTTATATGGTAGATTGTTAACTAAACTTCGCTACTCGAACATTCTATCTATTATTTGTTCTGGAATTCGTGTTCGCTACAATATATATCATGATGATATACCCTGTATCTAAACATTTATTATCTTTACATTTTTTGGATTTTTTTGAATGAGTGCGTTAACAGGGAAACTTGGGTGGTTATATAGCCTAATTTTTATTTATGATGATATTGGGTAATATATATTAGAAAAATAAATTTTTTTCAGTTCGTTTTAAATTTTTTGCGGTGTGGCTACCTTTTCTTCTGGTTACTGCGCCATCTTGTGGCAATGAGTTGGCGCAAGCAGCTGATTATTTCGTACTGTTGTACAGTTTGCGTGAAAAATATCTAAATACGGAATAGTTAAGAAATTTTGATTGAGACAATTTTTGAATTGTTTGCGGGAAACAGAATGGTTGGATTGTGTCGGTTATGTGCCGCTATTCGTAAGAAGGATATGCTTATCCCAATGAATCTTAACATTTACCAGAAATTGAGGGAGTGCTTTGGAATTGAAATGTGTAACACTGGGGATAAGCTTACCAAATGTGCTTGTGGCATTTGTTTAGAAACATTGGAAAATGCGTTTTCGTTCTTTCGGAAAGTAAAAGAGTCACAGGAATCATTAGCTTTATTATTAAATAGTTCCAAAAATGATAAATTGGAAATTATAAATGAAGTTTGTATTAGATTAAATGATAATGATGAAGTTAAAGGCGGTAATGTAGAGACCGATAATGTACTGACATTAGATTCCATGGAGCTAAATATGCAAATGGTGCATAGATGCATAGAAGATGTTGATGACGAATACCAAAGTTTGCAAATTCTAAATGTCATGGATGTAAACAGTTCGCTGTCTGATCTAGATAACAAAGCTGGACAGGAGAGTCCCAGCCAAATTTCAGAAAATGGTGCCGATGTTAAAATTGAAACATACTTTTTGGAAGATGTAGAAGACGTTTTAGAAGAGGAGTCAGAGTTAAATGAAGAAACCACATACACAAAATCGAGAGAATCAAATGAAAGCAATTTCAAATCCACAGTTATCGAAATCTTGCCTGTTAACAACACCGTTTCTAATTGTTCGAAGGTTTGTTTTTGATCACCGTGACGAGTTGAGTAGATTTATGTTCGTCTGCCTGTATTACGCGAACTAGTCCCTCAGTTTTTGAGATATCGCTCTGAAATTTTACACATGTCAATTTCTCCCCGGGAGAAAATACGAAAGCTGCTCATTTGTCGGAACTGCCGAAACCAAACCTTTAAAGCATATTGCTACCATACAAACTGAACGATCAAAATCAAGTTCTTAGAAGGAATTTTTTTATTTGACAAGATATCTTCACAATATATCACATAGATTTTTGGCCAAGGCAATACTATAATATCAGAAAAAATTTTTTATGTACTTTGTAATTACGTAATATACATTAAGATTTTTATATTCATTTTAGAGTATTGAAGCAACCGAATCTAATAGTGTTCAAGTATTCGAATGGAGGTTATACACATGGATTTGCTATTCTTGCTCTGAGGCCTGCGAAACTTTTGCTGCATTGCTTTTACATGCTAAAGAGAAACACGAAGTGCAAGCGGTCAATTATCTGCAATACAAGTGTGCTGATTGTCAGAAAATTTGTGCGCACTATAATAAATTTCTTAATCATGTGCGATTCCGACACCATCCTGAATTAAGTTTGCGTTGCGATGCCTGCGATGTTCAGCTGGAATCTTATCAACAATTAGCTGCTCATAGAGAGAATTGCGCTGCAACACAACAATATCCTTTAGTAGATTTGTGTAATATATGTGGTAAGAGTTTTTACAATCGAACTGCTACATTGGTACATTCACGTGCACAACACAATGAGGAACATAGTGACAGAACCAACTGGCATCAATGTACTCAATGTCATAAAAAGTTCAAACGGTTAGCGAATCTGAGGGCACACGAACATATTCATTCAGGTATGTAGAGATATATTGCCAAAACATATTTTTAATTAATACGCTATTATAATTTCAGGTTTAAAAGAGTTTGTATGCGATATATGCGATCGGAAATTTCGTCAAAAACATAATCTCGAAGTGCATTTATATACACATATAAATGAACGAGTTTTCGAATGTAAAATTTGTAATAAAAGGTAACTCGACCGTTACGAATTTGTGAGCTTTTAAATTTTTTATATTCAATATTTTTATACACTGAACTGAAGTTTGCCACGAAGTTTGTAACACCCAGAAGAAAACTTCGGAGACCCTATAAAATATAAATATAAATAATCAGCGTGACGAGCTGAGTAGATTTTTTTCGTCTGTATATACGTGAACTAGTCAGTTTTTCAGATATGGATCTGAAATTTTGCACGTCATAAATTATCAAAATTAAGTCCTTTCATGGAGAAATTCTTTATTTGCCAAATTAACATACCGAATATGGCGTAGAATATTGCCCAAAACAACGCTGCACACTCCGAATAATTTGTTTTTAGATCGGGCTACTATAGCATATAGCTGCCATACAAACTGACCGATCAAAACCAAGTTTTGTATGGAAAATTTTATATTTGTAAAGGGTATTCTAGCTTCGGCGCACCCAAATTTAACGGGTTTTCTTATTTTTTCATATTAAATACTTCATAATTATGGTTCAAAATATAAAAAATATATTAAATTCTATAGTTTAAAAACATCAACTAGTTTGGAAAAACACCAGCTGATTCACAAAGATATCAAGAAATTCGCCTGTGACTATTGCGATAAAGAATTTCGGACAAAAGATGCAAAGCTTTCTCATGAACGTATACATACAGGGGAAAAACCTTTTAAATGCAAGTACTGTGATCGGGGTTTCCGTTTTCGTAGTGGATTAATGGTTTGTATAAATACATATCACAAATAATTTTAACAAAATGCATAATGTTTCGTTTAATATCCTTTCCAGGGTCACATTAATTTACATACGGGGGATCGTCCATATTCCTGCCAGGATTGCAATCGTCAATTCACCAACTGGGGTAATATGAACAAACACATGAAACGTTGTCATAATCGCCAAAGCAGTGGAAAGAGTACTTAGTTATGTTGATGGCACCACAATTATAGCAATTCACTTTGCTTTATGCTGTAAAGGGTGTATAATACAATGCCAAGAAAAGAATACACTGCGTGTCCTGTCATTATATCAGTCAAAATAGCACTCATTCGCATAACATTATGCAAAATTGATTGCAGGTTGTCTTTGATATTATAACAAAATCCCGGCTATGGTAATTTTAAGCAACTTATGTTAGATATATAATATAATATTATATAATAAAATCAAGTAATTTACATACATAAGTGAAGACTTTGGTACACATTTTGAAATAAACATGTTGATTGAGAATGCCATATAAAATAGTGTCATAGTTAAGTAACATCGTCAAGAGTTATAGGGTTACATGGGTTTCCTCGAGCAAAAAACGGCCTATTTTGAATAAGGCCTACTTTTCCTCGAGAACCTGTGAAAAATTTCATTAAGATCGGTTCAGTAGTTCGCGAGAAATCTTGACAACCTACTTTGAAAACACAGTTCCGAGAAAAACCCGTTTACAGTTTTAAGTGACCATATAGCTAAATCCATCGCGCCACTTTTCAATGCTATATCTCCAAAACTATTACTCGGATAAACTTAATAATTTAGGACAATATTCTGGAGTTGTTATAGAAAAAAATAAGACAGTCAAAATGCTTTTCTTTTGAAGTTTCTTGTTAAGAAAGGAGTGATAAAAATTTCAGACCTATATCTCAAAAACTGAGGGCCTAGTTAGTTCACATATATACAGTTGGACAGAGGGACGGACATAGCTAAATCGACTCAGCCCGTCATGCTGATCATTTTATATTTACATATTTATTGTACAGTGTCTCCGACGTTTCACTTTGGATGTTAGAATATAATAAAATGAAAATGAGGTATGCTCCGCGACTTAGAGTCTATTGTGCCCTCCCCTAAGTCACTACGACACACTAAGCCTTAGCAAATTGCTGAATCCTAATATACTGCCAGGGCCTTAATGCTGCGTCTGCACACTGCTGTGCAGTCTACTAGTCTACTAGCAGGAGTTCTGGGGTTTCCGGCTCCATGTCGCAGCAGCGGCAGTTTGAACAAGACGCTAGTCTCATGTTGTATAGATGCTTCTTGAGCTTGTAATGGTCGGCATGCCTTGGAATTGTTGCCAATGTCTCTGCCTGTCTACTCTTTCCACCTTAGGGAGCAACGCCTTTATGGTATGTGAACCAATCGCGATGTACGGTTCCGGTACAGCTCGTCAGCCAGCTCATTCCCGGCTATACCCCAGTGACCAGACATCATTTTATTCCGCCTTACTGCCAAGGGGCTTACTTCTTAGTGAAGCTTATAACTTTGGTAATGCTGTCCTTTGGGAGAAGGTCACTTATAGCCTTCCCTCTGCCAAATCCTTCTGCTGTCATTTGAAGCAAAGTATGTTTGGCTGCCTGTTTGATTACTATATGTAGCGGTGTGATTTTCCGACGCGCAGATGCAGGTAAGTCGTTGAAGCTTCGCTAGTTGGAGTCCTACTGAAGTCTGCGATGCTTTTGAAACCCCCCCCCCCCCCCCATATGTGATAACGGTCTCACGATCATAATGTATATCCACCTGATAATCCTTGGGTTGCATCCTCAGGACTTCCCGGCAATTCGATTGCACACATGAGTGCTTTTTTAGCCTTCACTAAGGTCAGGTCCACATGCTGCTTCCATAGATATTTGACCGTATTAGCCATCTCAAACTCTCTGCCGCCAAGGGATAGATTTCTAAGGCCTGGCAGTGACCTTCGTCTCGTAAACGGAACGATTGTAGCTTTCGAGGGTTGATATTTAACTCAACCCCTATACACTTTCCCTTTGTCAGACCTAATCCTCTTTGTACGATATCGGAGAGAGTATCTACGAATTTACCCCTGGCTAAAATAACAATGTCATCCGCATATCCCTGACAGCGAATTCCATTGATAGTTAGCAGCTCAAGTATGTCGTTCCTAACTAGGCTCCATAGTAGTAGGGATAGCACTCCACCCTGTGGTGGACAACCTCTTGCTGTGCCGAGACGATTTTAGGTATTACCTACTGCGGCTTCAGCTGCTGTTTTGTTGTCCTAATCTCGTTGTTGTAAGCAGTTAGGCTGCACTTGTAGTCCTACCAGTTCCCGGTACGCTTGACCTCGTTAAATAGTTTGCGTACCGTTTTTCTTAGTTCGGAGAGTTTACTTGACCACCAAGGACAGCTACGAACCTTGGTGATCGTCTTTAGGGGACAGCTGCTGTGATATGCCTCTATAATGGACTGATTTAGCGCAAACAATCTGCTCTCCAGTGCAGAAGCCGTTACTCTTCTGTCTAGCTGCCCCTTTCTACTGATATTGCTTTCAAGCATATCCCGAAAGGCGGCCCAGTCTGTGTTTCTAGGGATACGTGAGTATCCTATACTCTACCCCTAGTGCGAATCTCATGATATGGTGATCTGGCATGGAGGGTTCTGATGACACCCTCCATTGTGAGATCAATGTGATAGAACTCTTAAAGAGCACTAGTACCAGAGAACACGTAAACAGAGAACGTAAAGCTATTGTTGTATGTTCTCTGCTGGCAACTCGTATTCGTCGCCATTTCAAATTTTGCGCATTTGTTTTCGATTTGTGAATTGTAAAAAAGAATTGGAACAGTTAAAGTTTTTGTTTTATAATATACCAAGTCGTTTTAAGTAAGCTTAGTTCAAAATTCCAATCGAATAGCATTATTCACTTCTATATTTTTAACGTTTGTAAAAATTCGTCAATGATATTATCGTAAAACAAGGTTTTTCGCCATATCTCGTCCAGTCCAAAGACTTTAGAGCTCATGTAGTAGATTTGTATATTTTGGGCAATATTTGCGCACTGAATTATTTGCTTATACTAGTACTTACTTCCCCCATTTAGCCATAAATAATTGCAATGCTAATATTTAAATTTTTTATTTATTATTATTTTTTTTATTGTTAATTTTATTGCATGCACAAAAATGTTAATCTTACCATTTTATATACTAATATATTTTTTCATACCTATAATGTGTATGTAATTATGTATGTATGTATGAATGTTTGTTCTGTAATTTCTTTTATTTCATTAATGTCTACACTCTTTGAGTTGTCAATACATAGTTAGTACAACAATAACTATAATATCTCAGTTAATATTTTAACTATGTATAGTAATTTCGTTTTTACGCTACATTTTCCTTATAATTCATTTTCGGTCCACATACAGTTGGTATGCACTGTTGCGCTAACATCTCTTACATTTAACGCTTCGAATTCAAACATGTATTACAACCAATAATAATTCTGCATGTACATATATTTAAGGAGAAAAGTCGTACATTTTTATATTAATTGTGATTTTTTTTCTTTGAGGTTAAAAACATACAGTTGATTTTTTTTATGGCTGCGGCTTTAATTGTTTGCAATTTTCTTTTTACAAGTACAAGTATATCAGCTGATTAATGAATTTGCTTTTTTGAGATTGAATACAACAACAGTGAAATGTTCAAATGAAATCAAAAAACTTAATCTTTTTGGTATTAAACTACTTTGCTTTCGTTTGCTTAAGCTTATAAATATTTCTCTTTTAAATTTTTAATTATTTTTGTACATTAGTATTTTAGTGTTTTTCTCATTAGTTTGTCGGCGTTATGATTTTTTTTTTGATCTGGTAGCTTAGCTATGCATTATTGACTGGCGTTAAAGAAAACTGGTCGCTGTGCAATAAAATATATGTAGTAAAAATTTAAATAAGAAAATAAAAAACTTTAATATTTACGCATACATACATGTAAACGCATTTTTTGTTTGCAAAAAATATATTAATATTAATATTTTCCATTTTGCATTTGCTCGTGAAAATTGAGTACTTTATTTGCATGTAAATAAACTCAGTCATTAAGAGCTAATTTAGTATTCATTATGACACATGGTAAAAAGTATATGTTATAATAATGATTACAGCTCCACCTAATTGCAATTCATGAATGAAAAGTTAAAAAACGATTAAGATTATGGCAACTCTAAAATTTTTATATTGACGAAAGATTTGTAAAAAAGTAACTGTAGGTACAGTAAAGAACAGCAATTTGTTGTTTTGTGGTTGTTGTAACGATTATTCAGCTTCTGCTTGGGGGAAAGCTTAACTGGTATCAGTTAGCTTTTAACAAAATTACTTAACGGTAGGCCCAGCAAATGAGCTGTTTCGAAGCGTTCGGACCATAGAGAGAGGTGAGTTAAGTGAGTTGATTTAATTGGGCATGAAAGAGGTGATTAGTTGCAGTGAAGAAGCGAGAAAGTTCTAGGAGATAGGAGTTCACTTTTGATCACATGTGTATGAGGTAATAGAAACTCCTTCTAGTGGTTGCGAGAGCTTCGAAGTATAGTGATTAAACAATAGTGGGGAGGGTTAAGCAGGGTCCCTTTAACTCTGTTTGGATCGGCAATTAATAACAGCAATTTTAGCTATTTCGGCTCTTGTATTTGAACTAAATTTTCAATAAAAGCAAAACAAATAAATAAAAAATGTTTGTCTCGCGCTTTTCGCTTTTTATTGTTATTTTCGTAACAATACAGGAAGTAAAGAAGTATAAAGTCATGATTCACGATTTAGTTTTTTTTACAACCGTTCTCCCTTCATTATTACAGGTTTATACATATTTGATACACAAACCAAGTCAAGCTTTAGGTCAATCCCTATCCCGAAATTATATTTTGCTCTTAGTATCAGTTATTCTTTGTGGAATTACCTTGGCAGACTGAACTTTGCCAAACTGGTGCCAAAATAAATATAATATTATATAATATATATAGAGATCCGATCTAATTTTTTTGGAGATTGCACTATTGTCCTAGGCAATAAACCAAGCCAAATGAAGATGAAGTATCTCGTCACATAAAAAAGCTTTTCATACAAGTATTTAATTCCGATCGTTCAGTTTGTACGATCTGAATAATTTCTTCAGAGATTAAACTATTGTCTTAGACAATAACCCAAGCCGAATTTTACAGACAGACAGGCGGACATTAAATCGACTCAGCTCGTCAGGCTGATCATTTATAAATATTGTATAGGGTCTTCGCCGTTTCCTTCTAGGTGTTACAAACTTCGTGACAATTTATTAAAAATCACCTTGCTGTTATGAACTATTATCATTTTAGAAATATTCCATTTCTAATTCGTATAGTACATACTTTGAGTAGAGATAAGGCAGTTAATTACTAATACATTTCTAAACTAGAACTGAATAAATATACAACAAAATGTCAAACACTATATTTTAGGTGGCATTTGGTCAGATTTCATAGCAGTATGATCAGCTAAGTTTTCTACGCACCTATATAAGTATTCCATAGAAAACTTTATGCGCCATGACGAACAATAAAGGTGCTTCATAAATATTTCAGTATTGGCAAAATCGTAGTATTTTGATGACGTCATAAAATTTCTTTGATAGAAAAATTAAAGAATTCGAAAAAAAATGAAGCATACCTTTAGGCGAAGAGTTTATTTTAAGGAATAAAAGTTGACAAGTATATAACCGAAATTATTTGTCAGAGCAAGATCGTTATGTAGTCTTAGATTAAAACAAGATTTGACATATACATGTAAGAGATATTATTACAAAATGTTTCAAAAATGTTGCACATAACCTCAAATCATTAATTTCTTTTTTACAATTAAGCAGTGATCACTATTATATTATATAAGAATCGGCTTATTGCAAATTCACTTTTTAGTTTTACAATAAACATCAAGAATATGTTGTTAAAAACAAAGAGGAGAGGCTCCACATTAGATTATTTATTAATGTTTTTATTTACAATATTTATTTGCTTACTATATTTAACATTAACTTTAACATTTTAATCACTTATTTTTGTGTAAAGAATTACTTATTTTTTTGTTATAACATGAGTACACTAACAGAAAAATCAGTCACATACACAACTACAATACCATAATTTTATCTTTTTGATTTTTTTTTAAATTAAATTTATGAAAATAAATAAATGCTTAAGTATTTTTTGCATGAAAACATGGCTCAATTACGTTGGCAAAAATTAGTTGTTTGCTTGGTATAATTAGTACAATTACAAATACTGCTAAATATTTTTCTATGTAATACGAGTATAACTAACATTAGCGTTGGGTGTCATCTAACACATCCAGAGCGTTGCGATTACTACTTGGATTAAGTAAGTAATCTGTATATGGAAGATGCACTGTCGCGTACACACTTCCTCTTGTTTGAGCAAACAAACTGTCAAATTGTCGGCGCTAAGTTAAATTTCAGCGCTGCCGCGGAAAAAGATGTCAGCACCAACACCGTTACCACGACTAATCGCACGGTTCGATTTATAGCGTTGCGTGACTTCTTTTTCCTCTTCTCCGGTTTGTACTTTGCTGGCAGCTAATACCATTGGCTGTTGCTGTTTTCTGGGCGTCGGCGGCGCCGCATATTTACGACTAGCAGCACGCTGATAGCGACGCGCTTGCACGGCCAAATCATCGAGAAGTAATTCATTTGTTGACTTGGCGCGCTGTGACGCTAAGTTCGGTCGTGGCGCGCCATTTACAGCATTTACACCACTAACGCCGCTATTTAATTTCATATTGTTAATGGGTGGCGGTGGTGGTGCCGCCTTTTTGCGCTTAGGTTCTTCCTTATTCTCACCCATATTCAGCTGTTGGCGTACAAATGATTGACTCAATGTGGAACCGCGTATAAAATCGCAATCAGCATCACCACGTTCGTCGGCCGCTCCACCTTCGCCTATCTCGCGATATAAATTTAATTGCGGTGAGTATTTGTGCAGCGCATGCGCCATTTGTTTAATACTTAATTGATCCTGTTTTAACAGACTATCGGAGGGCATTTTAACAAATGGGCGCTTTACTTTCGTTTGTGTTGCTTTGAGACGATCGAAGAGATTATGTAGTGTTGTGGCACGCTGCTTTTGTTTCGCTAATGGCATTATGGTGCGCTTGCGTTTAGGCGTTTGTGCTGCGTTAGCAACGGCGCTATTTGTGTTTGTTGTTGGCATCGCCGCCTTTTTGTGAGCGCTTGCCGCTAATGATGGCAGTTTCATGGGCGTACTGCCTGGGTAACCGATATTATTGATGCGACTCGAGCTAAGTGACTTAAAAACATCATCGTCCAGTTCACTTAAACTTACCATTTGCTCATCGCAACCCGTAGAGTATGTGGTAGCACGGCTAAACTTTGCCTGCGGGCTAACTTTTTTTTCGTCTTCTTCATCGTCATCGCCGCCACTGTAACTGGCGAAAATTTCATCAAAGGCTGCATTTACAATGAACGTTTCATCGTGTTCAACGTTCATGTGCGCGCCAACGTCTATATCTTCTTCTTCTTGTCTGACGCGCTTACTATTGTGCTGCGCGGCACTGTAGTCATAACTATTGATATTTTCACAACCTTTATTAACAGACGTTAATCGACTTGATATGGTGCCAAAGAGATTTTTACGGTAATCATCATCCATATTACAATACTGTTGCATCAAGTGATCATTATCGCTTTTTGCAGCTCGCGTATCTTCGGCGCAGTGCAAACTTAATGTGCTGTGTCGCTTAAGGGGGCTACTATTCGGCGATAATATACTACTATTGTCGACGCCAGGCAGCGACTGAGCGCTTAAGCTACTTTCGAGTTTAGTATGTGCTGTTTTTGACGGCGCGCGTTTAGCGCTATTGTTAAAAGCAGCTAGTAGTTGCTGCTTACTTAGTTTTATGAGGCGTTGCCGTGATTCGTATGATTTACGCTTTAGTTGATGATATTTACTATTACTAGTGCCGTGCTGAGAGTGACGTGACGAGTGTGTGGGCGTATCATATGTGTATGTTGTTGTGTGTATGGCGCTTTTAAGTGTTGGCATATACTTACAATTTCTCTCTGATAACTGTTCGCGCTCGCACTGTTGTTGCTGTTGCAGTGCCCAAGCGCGTTCTTTGGCGCGTTCTTGATCGGCAAGCTTGCGCTGCATAGCAAGCGTTTCGAATGTGTGCACCATACTCCCCACGTGTGAACGCACCTCTGGTATACCTAAATCGCCGCTGAATAGATCACGCTGATGTCGTTGCTGCGCTGTGAGCAGCTCACTACCACTAGCGCGTTTATTCAGTGCCTGTATACCGGTGGCATTTTTATAAAGCGCACCGGCTGAGACGCTGGGACGTAGCGCGTCATGTTGACGACGACGCTGCGGGAAACGTTCTATAAATTCCGTCGCTTCTTGTTGCCAAAGCAGTTCGCCATCGAATGTGGCTTTTGTGGTTGTTGTTGTTTTATGTGAGACTGGCTGCATTTGCGTAGTTTTTTGTGTTGTCATATTATGTGTAACGTTGTATTGAAGAAGTGTGTGTAAGTTGTATGTTTAGGTGTAGTTGTTGTAGGCGTGTCCAAGCGACGGACATGAAAGTACATATGTAATATTGAAGAGAATAGCAAATTAAAATTGAAGCCAAAGAAGGGAAAGTGTGTAAATGATAAGCATTGAAAATTGTTGAAGTGTTAATTGTTTAAGGAGAGATTAAGAAATATTTTAGATAAAAATTAAACAAAAAAAAAAATTAAATAGTGTGCAGTTGAGAACTCCGTAAATCTTACACGTGTAACGATGAATCATTTTCTAGTATTAATAAATTGGGTATTTTAATGACTTGAGTATACAATTTCGTCAACTATAGCGTCAGATTACGGTGAGTTTGACAACATCATCGGCTAAACTGACGTCACTTTAGCTATTGGATTGCTATTAGAATTATGAAATTTGAAATGATTTAAATGATTACGATATTGAAACCAAATGACGACTAAGATAATACAAATATAAGATAAAAATATTCGGTAAAATTAGTATTATTGACAAGTAGGGCAAACCTTGAACTTATGCTTTTTCTGAAAAAAACTATGAACAACAAGATTGTTTATACAAGTAGCGCTTGATATTAGAATGACTTTATCCATCCGACTAGCATGGTACTTAAACTATGAGCTTACAATTCTACAATTTGTCTTACCACGAAAGCTTTTACTTTTAGAAAATTGTATTATGGGTACTACGTAAGATATTTGATATTTTGGAAGTAAAGTAATAGTTTATAGAATCTTGTAGGCGATATGTCTAATGATCATCCGATAGGAAAAATCAAAAATGTGTTTGCTCTAATACTTTTGTGTGTTGTGCTTTTGTAAAAATACTCAATACTTCGCTGGTTTGTTTTTTGATATCGGATAATAAAAAAAGGCGTGATCGTAAACGTCCACATCTAAGTTAACATTAGACAAATTGTGTTTCCAAGTCAGTCCCAACTAAGTAACATTCAATAATTCGCTGGATTTGATAAAATTTCTAAGTTTCTCCACCCTATATACCCAATTTACATTGCGAGCTGTCAAGATATAACGGAAGATAACATGCTGAGCATTCGGAGAGGTAATACTATAATGTTTCATCATTCATAACGCACTCCGATGAGTCTCACGTTTTAACAGAGTTTTTATGTCAAGACCTCAGCGGCATGTTCTCTGTAATCACCCCTACCAAATATGGATTCTCATTTTTCCTAAAAGTTGATGTCTTTTGGATTATACACTATCCATACTGCCTCAAAGCAATTTTGCTGTACTCTTTCGATCAACCATTGCTGCAGCAGCTTTTGAATGATTATTAATGGTTTTGGGCAGCTAAATAAACTTAGTTAACTTCCAAATTGAAACAATTTGTAAACTGATTCTTTAAAATGAGTTGGCTATTAAAGCATTCGTTAAAAATGTTATTTGAGATATCCACTAATATTTGTGTATTCGTGACGAAGACGATTCGCTACATGAAATTCATTTTCTATTCTTTCATACGTCTGTAAAAATACTCGTGATAATACGAGTGACGGCATTAGAAACGATAAAGTTTTGGAAGACCAAATTAGAATTTTTAATTTTCAATGGCAACTTTCAACATTAAATAAAAAAATAATAGTTAGTTCTTAGATACATTTTTTGTTTTTGTTGTAATTAAGTCAACAACAAAAAAAAAATTTAAGAAAATTAAAAAACTTGGGACTACAACACTGCTCAAAATATACACACCTGACAGTGTAAACAGCAATTGTAAAACACTTATGACAAAAACATTACACCAACAATTGGGAGTGTTGTAGAATGAAACAGAGAAATGGTGAAAACGAATGTATGATATTTATGATAAAACTACTTACATTGTGCTTTAAAAAGAAAGTTCAATGTTGCACCGGATGGATGTCACGTTTGCGTGCCAGTGTTGTTAAGTATGTGCAGGTATACATGTGTGAGTGTGTGTGTATGTATGTGCAACGTAAATATGATTGGATGTACTTCAATTCAATGATTCACCGGTGACGTATTCCACACAAATGGCGCGTTATGCAACACAGCTCAAATATACATATACATAAAAGTATGTACACATGTGCGTACATTAGTTAATAAGTGCTTGTGCACGCTTTGGGGACATAGCTGGTTTGACAGACATACATATGTATATGCAGTGGCAATGATTTAATAGTAATTATTATCGCATTGCATGCTCTCGCTGGAGCTCGAATATTGACTGGTCATCGAATTGGCTTTGCTGATATTATTTATTTGCGTTGTATTACTGCTGGCATTGCAGTTGTTGTTGTGTTTGCGCTCCTTACCGCCGCTACGATTCATTTTGCCAGACTTTTCGGTGGCTGACGATTGTGGTTGCTGCTGTTGTTGCAGCGAGCGACTGCTGCGCGATTTGGTCGGTTTTAATTGTTGTTGTTGTGTCAAATGTTGTTGCTGCTGGTGTGCGCTAGTCTTACTCTTATGCGTTTTGCTGCTGCCGCCACTTTTGCTATGCTTCAAACTATGATGATGATGCTGCGGCTGATTCTGCGAACACTGCGGACCATTGCCACTTTGATAATGCTGTTCGCTGTGCTGTTGCTGCTGTTGTTGGTATTGATTTAATGTGCTATTGCTATGATAGAGCACAGCATCCTGTGTGGAACCATCATTACTGCCGCTGCCGCTACCGCTTGCAGTGCTGCCACGCCCATAAATCTGCGACTTAGATTGACTGCGATACAAATGTAAATTGGCCACACCATAGGGATCGAGACTGTCGAAGGTCTGCAAGTAGTGCGGACTAATTTGATTGTAATCACCCATACAACCGGTTGCATTCGATGTGGCCGCGCCGGCGCTGCGTCGATCCAATGTATTGGTGCGTTGTGCATTCGTGGGTTCGCGGTAGTGCGGCTGATGGCCGCCCTGGCCACCCTGTCCATGCTTATAGTGCGTTTGGTTGCGTTCACGATAGTCCAGCGAATTGAAGTGATGCGGTGCCACCGGTTGAAAAGTGGATAACGACGTTGAGCAGATGGTTGGCGACAATGCGGCTGCGGCGGATACCGATGTGGCGTTTGGCAGAATAGTGGAATGATGGCCGTGATGTGCTAAATAGCCCAGTGTGCTGGTGGTGGTCATTGTGTTGTTAGGCGATTCAAGTGTAAGTGGGTGTGGCAGGGGTGCGGGTCTGTCTGTGTGATTGAATTTATGAAGACCAGTGTGACTGTTGGTGGTGGTGGTGGGTTCGTTGTTGCGGCCGCACTTGATCGCTACAAAGGAAGTTGGCAATGGCGGCAATGGTGGCGTGTTGGAGCGCACAACATTCAAGGTTGCGGGCAAAGATGTTGCTGCCGTTGCTGCTGCGTTGCACTGTCTGTTGTTGCTGTTGCCGCTGTTGTTGTTGCTGATAGTTGTGGTGGTTGTGTGGTGACTGGTGTGGTTGTTGTTGTTTTTGGTTAGAGTGGTTGTGGTGGTGCAGGTGCTGGACAGGGTTGCCAGTTCGCGCTACGCACCGTGATGGTTGCCAAATGTGCGCAGTACTGGCACACTCTACATGCCATAGCAGACAACAACAATGATCCCCGATACGGAATGAGTTTTGTAGGCGTATGCATAAAAGGAATTTGGTTTTGTTGAAAAAAAGTTCATAATTGAATTCGTTAACGATTTTAGTGTTTTACTTTGTTTTGAAAGTTAATAAGAGTTTGGAGTTTTTTTTTTTGCAAAAAAAAAATAAATAGCAAATAGCCATAAGGTTGTATAACAATGTAGAAAATTACGATATGTTTTGTAGAGAATTTGCAAATAAATTAAGATACTTTTTATATATGAGTTGTAAATTTCCGTGGATTTTTTGTTTTTTTCCTTGATCTGGGTTTTATTGTAGTTAAATTTGTAGTTTTAGTTATTGTGATTAAATAATAGTAGTAAGTAGTTATTATTGTTGCAATAGCTGTAGTAATATCGCTTGATTTCAAAATTACTGTGAAGCCAAAACAACTAAAAAAATACAATTAAAAGCGTCGAAAAAGTGAAGCTTAGAAAAAACGTAAAAAAAAATTGTAAAAGATTATTTCTTTTATAAAAAAAATATACAAATGTACATATGTAGATAAGTTGTGAATGAAATTGCTGCAAAAAATGTGCATGACTGTCGATTGTTTTGCAAAGTGAGAACACCATATTACTACATACTTAGTGTTAGGTTTTCCAACTCTACAGTTATGTATATTGCAGGAGAGTGGTGATATTACCGCAAAATCGTTGAGCTACGACTACTATTTACTTTTAGAAATTAAGAAGATTTTTCAAAAAAATTAAGGGGATTAAAAATCAGAAAGGTTAATTAAAAAAAAATTATAAAATATACACAATTAAATACGAATTACTTTAGGATATGACAGATGAGAGGTAGGGTTGACTAGTGATGTTACAAATCTACTCTACAAGTAAATATTAATATAATATAATACATAATACATACATATACTTATTAGTTACTAATACTAACTACTTTTTAGCAAAGCGCTACAAAGTTACAAATAATATTATATTAAATACAAGTTACGTATACACTAAGATAAGCCGAAAAGTAATTATATAGAAAATATGGTTATTTTTATAGAATAAACATTATTCAAAAGTCATCAAAGAGAGTCAAGAATAAGACAGTTGGGTAGGGCAGAAAAAAACTTCGAAGTCAAAAATTATTTTTTTTTGTATTTTTTCTTAAAACATAGTTTTTGTAAGTCGCTTATTATTCTATATATATTTTTTTTCAAAAATATTTAAACAAAGCGCCTTTTAGTGAGAATTTATACTTGCTTTTTCGCCTAAATGAGCGGTATAAACAATACTGAATTTACATTTCTTATATTTGTACTTGTATTATATAATATATAAAATACATATTTTGAAAAATCGCATATTTCTTCTATGTAATTATGTTGCAGATCCAGAATAAATAAGTGTAATATATTTATCCAGTGTGCAAATAATAGCCTATTTGGTACGCCATATCTCTGCTCGCTATGCTTGAGTTCTGCGCTCTTGTAAAAAAATCTACGCAATAACATCAAGAAGAAGTCATCCGGCTGTCACAAACATCGGCTAGTTTGCTAATGCCACCATATGGTAAAATGGTATTATTACTTGCTGTTCTATATATTTGATGAAGCTAGTTTTTTGCATGTATTGCAGTTGTTTGTTCGATTGGCCTCCTAGATTTGTAGTATATCTACATTTGCAAGCAGATTGAAGAAGAAACATAAACATGTTAAGGATTTAAAAAAGAAGTACGTGGACTAAGACTCTATGACTCAGAACACTTTTCGACGAAATTAATTCCTCTTATTCGCGTACTATTTGTATATTTTTATTTCCATACTGTGATAGTAGGAAGTTATAGATATGTTAAATTTGATTAGATTTTATATAAACAGATACTTTTTTTTATTTAAAAGGACTTGTTGACATATGCGGAGTACACAGAGAGCTGGAACAAAGATTTCAGTGTTTTGAGAGACCAAAAGTATAACAAAGTCTGCTACAAAATTTTTAAACGCTAATACACATTTGTATCAAAATATTTTTGACAGTAGTTGAATTTAGTACGAACAATAATGTTGACGAATAATTAAATCTCGCTCTTTGTTGTCCTTTAAAATGAGGAGTACATCGGAGCTATTATAAAATACATTTTTGTTTTAATATACCAAATTAGCTCAATAATAGAATAAATGGATAAAATATATTATATACGTATAATACCATCTAACTACATATGTATGTGTGTAAGTATAGCGCCAACTTGTGTAATTGCTTACCAAATTTTACACACCACTACACAAGCAAACTTGTCACATAGGTATCAAAATTTATTAATATTTACTATTTATAAAATTCATTTTTTTTATTTATTTTTGTTTTGTTTTTCTAATTGCACATATTAAGATGAGTTCTCGAATAAGACTATGCGTTTCTATTACCACAGTTACAACTAAAACAATACAATATGTAAAAGCATGCTTTGAAAATGTTCTACTATTTAATTGTAACTCTTTGAAACTACACATAATATATAAAATATTGTTATTGAAAATTAAACTGAAAAGTTTTACATACATTTAACCCATCAGGCAACACTATGTTAGCAAACACTCAGCTATAGTGCTTCGTGCAAAACTCGTGCGTTATGCAATTAAATATGTAATATACAAGAATACATATACATATAAATGTATATGTGATGCATTCGTTAGATAACTTGACATGCAAATACGTGGCTAATTTACTTAAGCGACACACGGAATGTTGTAAGCAATTCTTAAGCTAATTAAACATTTTCAAGGGGAAAATAAGACGACACCTTGAAATAATATGAAAAAAAAGAATAGGATATAACACGCGAAAAGGTGAGCAGCAATTTCATTTAGTTGTCAGCAGTGTGCAAAGCTAACAACAACAAGAGTCTGTGCATAATTTGATCATGCACTTCATTTTACGTGGCATCAGCCACATGTTGTGCGCAACAATTTTGTAGCGCGTGCCAAAGGCGGCGGCAGCATTTGCTCAATGGGGGTTATATTTATGGTCCCGTTGAAGGAGTGACTTGCAGATTTTAGTAAAATTGCTATCTAATTGCATTTAGAAATACAAATTTAAACAGATAATCTCACTTTTCCGGTAATCTATATCCATAATAATATTATGAAGTAGAAAGATTTGCTTGTTTGTTTGTTTAAATTGAATAGGATCGAAAATACTTGATTGATTTGAAAAATTCTTTCACTGTTGGGAATTTACACTCTCTCCGGTTGACATAGACTATATTATATTTTCTAAAAAGTTAAGAATCCTAACAAAAACGCCAATAATGTAAACCAAGGTCTCAAAAAGCCTACCTTAAAAATATCCTTACATAGCGTGCGCTGCAAATACTATTGATTATACAAAAAGTGTCACAACAGCATGTGTTTAACTGTTATAGTTAAGTCGCAAAAAGTGTTATTTTATGAAACAAAATAATTATAAAAACGCCACCTCTGTAATAGCTCCTTATTTGTAGCTTAATATTATTCATTATCAAATTACTTCATATTCAAGACTCATTCAATACCTTTATATAATTTTATACGATACGAACATTTCATTCGAAAGACATCACGAATTTAAAAACGTAAGAGTTAGAAAAAAGTCGCGTGGTGAGCGATGACTCGCTCAGCCAGACGGCAACATATGTACTATGCGATGTAGGCATCATTGGGCCACAGGATGGAGGTCAATGTCATGAAATAAAGTGCAGCGCGGCTCATTCGCTTCTTCCCACAAGTGGGCTGATAGTAAATTATAATATTATATATGACTTGGCCATATTTTATACTCTTTTCTTATTGTATAATATATTCATACATAAATTTAGGGCTTAATTTATATAAGAGAATTGCCGCACGCCTCTAAACTATTTTTTAGACTGTGTCACTGTCGTGCAAGTTAAGAAAAAAACCAATTAAGTCGCAGCGAAGTTTGAGTATTTTTGCATTTAATTTACACCTCTATTGCATTCTACTTAACTAGTCGTAGCTTTTAACGCGCATAGCAAAGTTTGTCGTATTTAGCACGGATAAGACTGAGACAAACAATTAACGATAGGGGTTATTGGTTGGGTGAATAAATAGGGGTCTTGGTAGCTGTTTACCGCCCTTAAGGTGCGCATCTCTTCGGAAGAACAGAGCAAATGCACGCTTTCAAAAGTACGTACATATGTAGGCATGCCATTACACCTAGAGTTACTGGGGTTAAAGGGTACCGCCAGAGATGTACATAAGAATGCATATAGACATTTGCCTAGCAACGCGACACAAGAGTTTAAACATTTAACTTTTCGTTCCCAGCGGGTTAATAGCGCTTGCAGCTGTTGACACAATGAACTGCACAGAGCAGCGGAGATGGGAAGTAAGTAAGCAGCACGCACTTACGCTGTAAACTTTAACTTGGAGATGATATTTGGAAATTAAATTCAGTGGAACATAATAAAATTACGCGTGCGTTTAATGAAGCGTACGAATGGCGAAGTGTGTGTAAAAGATTTTAGTAGCAAGAATGACGTTAAAATAGAATGCATAGAACATGTTGTCACAAGAATTTCAAATAAGCTGCGTTAAATCTTTGCTAAACAACTGGCTTTATTCACAGTTTGCAGTATGTTTAGATTTGGAGAATACACATATACACTAGTTTAATATGACTGTTGAGAAGAAAAAAAGTAAATATGTAGAAGATTGAGAAAAATTCGCTGTTATATTTCGGGATAACAGTGACTGTTCAAAGGGTAGACTAGCTAAAACTGCTTGGCTTAGTGGCACATTTTCACCTTCTTTTAACCAAAAGTTTGAGATGAAGTATA